CCTTGTTTCGCGGTTTGCTCGCTCAGGACGTCCTCCTGGTGGTTTCCGGTCCATGGAGCGAAATCGGCGGGTTCTAAAACAGGGCGATTAGTCTACATACAATCTAGAAATCCGGATGTTCACTTACTTTGACCTTTATAGACTGGAGCGACGGAAGGGATCTCAATGCGATAAGGGGTCGTCTGTACAGCACCGACTGGGGAGCTTTCCCTCGACTTCACGACACCGCTTCCCTCAGGTTCGGCCACAAAGTTGTTCTTCCAAGGCTGAGCCGGCAACGGAGGCGGGGATGGGGGCTTAGATCCGGCAGCGCCATCGCCCCGATTCTCATTACTCGGGATCTCCGACACGACAGCCTGGAAGGACCAGGCCGGACGACCACGCCACGAGACTGCAGGTCGCGAAATTGCACTTGCAGGAGTACTCCTCGTTTCTCCCACGGCCGCACCAGTATCCGGCGTATTCGATCCACTCGGGACATCCAATCTCGGTCGTTTCGGGGGCGGTTCTCTATCTTGCGACTCCGGACCGCCTGCAGTCAGGTCCACGATGGCGGGTCGAATTGGTGGCTGGGGTAGTGAGGCTGGCCTGTCGGGTTGATCGTATTGTCCCAACATCTGTCCATTATCAACTCGTCCGGGACCATTGAAGGTCCGCAGAGGGTGGCCCCACGGTTGGCCGCCGGCAGAGGAATGGGGGATCATCTTAGGCTCATGATGTGTCCAAAGGAAGTATTCGGGTCATTCAGGCGACGTATAATTTCGATTCGAGTAAATATTTGAGAGATGGCGAAATGGAAGTTGGCGGGTAGAGGGTGAGCTGATCGGAGACCGGCGACTCGGGTATCTGGGTAGTATCTGGGTATCTGGGTATCTGGGGTTGACCGGGGAAAACACAAACTCTTAAAAGAAAAAAGGATGTTGTGCAAAGGACAATATAACTTGTATTTGGTACTTCAAGGTATTCGGGTTATCATATGATTTGATCGGAGTAATGGGCTGACAATACCTACACATTCTTTTTCTCGCAATATCTCGGGTTTATTTGCAATTAATACACGTCCAATTACTCCACGTATCTTTCTTTCCGGGAAAAGGCCCTGATACTCGGCAAGTTCTAGCCGCGCGGAATTATTCTTCCCACAGAGTACGAAGTACGTACAGTTGGAATATTTTCCTCTGTTACACAGTCTAGAGGTCCAAGAGCGCAACGGGCCGTTCCCATTCTCTCTCGGCATTATCCCCGATTCCCATTATCGGAGAGTACTGGGTTCTTTGCATTTCTAATTTGACTCGTGGCATGTTTGACTCGGTTTTGGACCATCTGAGGTGCCGATCAATATCTACCTGTCCAAGACATGAGAGAGGATTGGAATATGCTAACTGCAAGGGGGGTTAGTAGGTTGAAGCCTAGTACGCTGTGCCATGTCATGTAGGAAATGATGCACAGCCCATCACACCTGCAGCACATCCAGAGTACACAAACCCTGGATGATGTGGGTTTACTCCGTATTGTTTTTGTCCTATTATGTAAATGGCCAATATCCGAAGGACTATTTCCATATCGTATGTTGTACATTGTACTCTGTATAGCGGTGAGTGTCAGCAGCTTATCTATTTGTGCTCATATTTGAAATATCCTGATCCCTACGGAGTACGGAGTACAATGTTCTCAACTTGAGGGAATCGACCAATAATGGGTTGAGATACAGAAGATATAGAAGACATAGATATATAAAAGAATATAAAGTACAAAGAATATAGAGTCAATCTCCCTCCAGGTCGGAGATATTCAATAATCCGGGGGCTCGGAAACTAGCCTAGACTGGCACCGCCTTGGCACGGGGGTGGCCAGTCCAATCCTTCTGGTTACAACCCATCACCTTAATATCATAACTCAACACAATGTCGTCAAAGAAAGATATGCGCAGGGCTGATCTCGGTGAGTGGAGCAGTAACTGCTTCAAGTCTTGGTCCATTGAAGCTAACATTGAAAAGCGATCCCCTATGTCGATCCCCCCAAGAGCAGCAGCGATGCCGATATCTCCAGTACGCCACACCTTCGTTTCAACAATGGGATACTTTCTGCAAGGACTATGAAGACTGATTGAGCTATGCAACAGGCACAATGTCGAGCACTATGCCCATGGCGGCCGTAAGTCCTTACCCCAACATCTGACCTTGCGATAACTTGACCCTGACATTGGTTTCTTAGATGTTCACTCGGAACCGGTGAGTCGCGTACCCTACAAGAGCTATGAACATTATTGACGATTGTCGCGATACAGCATGATCGGATGGTAAGAGCAAGGCAAGCAATCAATGGTTTGACCAGGTTATCTGACTCGGAAATAGGGTATCCTTCGTCTTCTCACTTCAGTCCTGGTTGGGTGAATCCCCCGAGCAGAAGAGGACTGCTTCTACACCGGCCTACATGTCGGTTCTCATGTCCTGTTCGTTTCTCTCCTTAAACCCCCCTCGTGCTTGCAGGACTAATCTCATGGCGTATAGTGATGGCATTGGTTGTCGTATGTATCCCAAACCTACCGAATTGCGACGCACTCAGCCTAACAATTGATTGCAGACCTATTTCCCTCTCTTCTTGCCTCCACAGGCTCCTGGGGGTACCACCGGCGCCGCCGCACCGACTCCGCTGGCCTCTTGAACAACCAACCCTCCTTCACACTTTTCCTTTCCCTCCTCCGACATACGTATCATAATCTACACGGCCTTATATCTGAACTGCGATGGATTAATTGTTCGCGGGTCATCAGGTTCTGAGTCTGGATCAAGAGATCTCCTTATCTATTATTGTCACGATGTACCAATATTCAACCCGAGTTCTACCCTTGTGATCAGAGATAAGCAACTCTGCTTCTCATAATCTCCACCAATTATTTGCTAGTTTGAATTAAAATTGTGTATGATTGCCTAATAGATGCGCATTGAAATGGTCATGGCTCTTCATCACCCAGATGCGCGATAATCGCTTAGTCACACACCGCCTTCCCCCACAACGTGACTCTTGCCTCAAAAGGCTCTGCCGCTTCTTCTCTCCCATTCTTCTACCACAGCAACTACTCTCTCCTACCCACACACGCTCCGATCTTTTACAGAGATATTGAATCTCGCCCTTCGCTCACTTCATCAATACCCATTTTAAACGCCGTTTACTACGAAAAGGCCGAGTTTATGTCCATCGAAAACCTCAAGACCTTCGGTAAGTTCGCCACTTTCCCCTCCTGGGCGCGCGTGTCGGGCCTCACCACCCCCACATGCACGCATATCCACAGTGATGACTCTTTATGCGGATGGGACATATGTCTCTCATCATGTGTAGTGTCACCGCTGTAGATCTCAGCTCCCCCCACCTCCGTACCACCGAGTCTCACGGCGGGGTAGCAATTTGGTACTGGACTGAGGCTGACATGTGCATCTTACAGACCCCTTCGCCGAAGCCGACGAAGATACCGGCGAGACTAAACAGTCTCAGAACTATATCCACATACGGATTCAGCGTACGTTCACTCTCCTATTCTCACCGCCCATGGCGACTCTTGCGACTCGCCGGCGCTAAAAGGGGGGTACATGCTAACCACTTGTTTCACAACAGAACGCAATGGTCGCAAGACTCTGACCACTGTTCAGGGTCTTCCCAAGAAGTTCGACCAGAAGAAGATTCTCAAGGTCATCAAGAAGAAATTCGGTATGTCTTGTGACCTGTGCATACGTGTGTCTGGGCCAGATGCTAACCATACCCTAGCTTGCAATGGCACCATCGTCTCTGACACTGAGATGGGCGAGGTGATTCAGCTGCAAGGAGACCAGAGAAAGGATGTCCAGGAGTTCTTGACTGACAAGGAGGGACTCGAGCTTGATGCCAAGACCATTAAGGTATGCCCCTGCCCCAATACTGCCCTTTATCACAATAACCAGGGTCTAATTTGTCATCTTCTAGGTCCACGGCTTCTAATCCCATCACCAACATCATGTCTTGTTCCAGTCCCCTCTTCCCGGTTTATGTTGCCCTGTGAGCGGTGGGATAGGAAGCATCCCTCATCCGCCGGCCGTATACAAAACTGTATGCAATACTGGCCTTCACATCGATCGAATGTCTTGCTTTCTCCCCCCACCACTCTGTGCCTGGCGAGTTAGACCTGGGCCCTTCGTCGAAATGACCCGCTACACCTGTGTGCCCCCTGTCCATCGTTCGCGCATGATCGGCAGGGAGAGCGGGGTGGTTCGACCGCTATTCTAAGGACGGGATTATGACGGAACGAGGAGTTTGGTAGATACCCATTATCTGCATAGACAGACAACACTTTTTTTTTTCTTTTCATAACTTTGCGTGTTTTCCATTATTTTATCCTTTGAGAAGGGGTTACTTTTGCCTGTATTGCGCATTGCCATTGCATTTCCCATGGTCAATTTGTCAGTCTGGCTGATCGAGGAGATCCAGGTTGAAGGGCGTGCTTTTGCTGAACCGTTATCTCGGTCTCTACCGTCTACTTTTAATCTTTGTGTCGTTCTTACTCTTTCGTTGCCCCCCTCTTGGGGATGCAGTCCATTGCTTGGGATCAAGGAAATTGAACTGTTGTCCATTATCATCTTCCAGCTGATGCAGCAACATCAAGTAAATTTGAGATATGAAACATGATCTCAATCTATCAGGTAGTTTTAAGGGGATGGAACTTCGCATCGTATATCAATCAATAAACAAAGATAATAGATTAGATCTACCAAAGATCGCCATGTCTGAAAAGAAAAACTTCCCTAGGCCAGGGGTATAAAGCATAACAAAGTCCGAAGACCCAAAGACAAAGAAAAGAGTCTTCAAGAACCTTTCCTAGATCAAAATCAAAATCAAATCCCAAAAATGTACAAACCATCCACCCTATCTAGCCAAGAACGCTTGTCCAGCTTGTCCAAACAGAGGAAATCAACTCTGCAAGATATCCCGAAACAGAAAAAGAAGAGAAAGGTTGGAAACCAGCAAGTAAGCTACAGCTCTCCGACAGCAATACGATCATCCGCAACTCGCATGCGCAGGAAGATGGCCACAGCCCAGTCCCAAAGTTTGCGGGTGATGACGAAGACAGGTACTTCTGGTTCGTTTTCACGGGTCAGATGCAGCTGCATGAGGAGTGAAGACATGCTTAGGAAGCTTGCGACGGAAACGACTAGTAGCGATGCTGCTGTTTCTCGTTTGATGGTTGCATGGTTTTGTGTTGCATGATAGACAAAGGTTAAAGACTAGGTGAATGGTTAGTGAGCTTATAAGGTAGACCAACAATTGGGAGTCGAGGACGTACGGTTGTTATGGAGATCCAGGCTGGCAACAGGAGTCGCGGGTCAGAGGATGCACCAGATAGATAAAGGACCCAAGAAGTGATATATGCAATCAGGCCGTTAGTTGTTAGCAGACGGATCACAACAGCTGGTGGAGTATAGTTTAGAAGCCTGAGGATATCACAGATTAGCATTAGGACGACAGTGAGACGTCCAAGGTCCGAGAAAACTGACCATCGAGACATCATGCAATCAGCAAAGAAATAAGAAAGATACGCGGATGCACAGCACTGTCAAGTAGTCAGTATAAAAGCACGCGGTTGGACACCAGCAAGTAGTATATCAAAAAGATATACGCCTACATATCAAGGCAGGAATACAACATACCCACATAATAGCTAATGCCACCTCCGTCACCCGGAACCTCCTCTCGACATCCCATTCCTGTCCAACACTACCAACAATCGCCGCCGCCCACCCCTCTCGTCCCATGCCCGGCCTTATATGCAGCAACTCGGCGAGGAAGGTAAAGGCGCATCGCAAACCCCACCAACCAGCAGGAAGTGTGCTCAGAGCCCGACATACCAGCAGGGGAATATACCACCTGCGGTCTACTCCGAGGATGACAGCAACCCGGGGATGCAGTGCTGACGGAGGGCCATCGCTGCTGAGTGGGGTATGGGACGTGGAGGAAGTCGGGGAGGGCGGGACAGTCGAAGCAGATGGAGAAGCCACCTCTTTAGCCAACTGGCTTTGTAGTAGTTCGGGGGAAGTACTGAGGTAGCTGGGCGGAAGAGCCGATCGCAAGAAATTCAGGTCTGGACCACGGTGTGGATGTGGGTGTGGATAGTCGTGGGGAGTGTATGGTGGAGGAGAAGCATTACGTCGAGGAGGAGCCAGCCTTTATTCTGAATCGCGGCATATGCGGCCGCCACGCAAGGAATGGAAAGGGTATAGAATAGGCGTTACGATCGAGTCGTTCGCTCTCGATAAGATTCGAAGTTGGGGTTGTTGTCAAGCTGTTTGTCAGTCCCCTAATTGGCAGATATCAGACCCAGTGTATGGCGGGCGGTGTCTTTTTTTCGGGCAGTTTAATTCTATACGTTCAACCTCTTTTTTACATATGACAAGTTGGTATTAAAGAAACAGCGAGTAAGATATAAGCTGTCGCCTCGATAAGGAGGGTGCCTTCACAAGAATCACACTGTCGACTTGCGGAGTGGTTCACGTGACTGACAGTTCCGCGGATTTCTGTTCTTCGGCCAGGAACCACTTCTCTTCTCAACCCGATTCGCAATGGCGTCTACCATACGATTGCCCGCGGGCACATCCGCTCGAATTGTGCCATCTGGTTCCTTTGTTCAATGTCGCGCCTTCTCCGAAACCTCCCAACAATGGCGTGGAAGACAGATGAATTTCCGCCCTCCAAGCCAAGCGCAGCCGTCCTTCAAGACCAGAAGCCAGGGCATGAAGTTAGCCGATCTGCCAAATGACATTGGCGTATTGCCAGGTACCTTTATCCGACCGTTGTGGAGGAATATGCCTTCAGTTTTCACTGCACCGCGCGATAGGTGGCATATGGAATGGACATGGTTAAAGGCCTGGTTGAGCAACCATGTCAGGTTAGTTCTCCCCGAATCCTCGGATTGTTCGGTACACTCTATTTCGATGGAGGCAGTCACGCTGAGCAAGAGCTACATACAGCATATACGTGCAAAGATTGGATTTCTAACTGTGTTGCAGTCTGCTCCAATATTGCAAGCGCGACAACACCCTTCCTCTTCTCCTACGCAAGCGTCGCCAGTTTGGCGCAAATCTCCAGAAGGATATGTATACAGCGTTTGCCGAGTAAGCATGCCTCTTTTCCTCATTTACCTATGAGCGGGACTAACCACTATGAATTGTTACAGAGGCAACATTCCTAAAATTCGCCAGATCTGCTGCGACAATCTCGCCAAGCAACTCACCACAGGTATCGAACGCCGCCCGAAGACTGAGATAGTGACCTGGAAACTGTTGAAATACCTGCGGAAGCCAAGTACAAACTTCACCGGCCTCCGCGTCATCTCAGATCGCGCCACATCCATCCCCGAAATCCCGAAATCCGGTATCCGTCAAATTGTCGTGCGCATCACGAGCCGACAGTCCACAACCACGACTAAGGCCCAGGACCCCAGCGGAAAGGCATCTACGGAAGCTCCCACCGTTTCCGTCAAGGAGCAGGACTGTGTCGAGCACATTGTCATTCAGAATCTCCGCTGGAACAACCAGGATCAGGGCTGGAGAGTGTGGGGCCACATCAACCCCACCACGTTGGACGAGGCTTGTAATAACCCCTACTTCAAGCCTGGCTTGTCGTCCCTGGAGCGTCTGGAGATGATCAAGGACTCGATCAGCAAATAAATTTGAGCCGCATCTCAAATTCTGATTTGTGTTTCTTTCCTGTGAGAATGATATGCTCTGAGCTCCTCGCTATTTGGAGATTGCAGCTGCAAGATCCGCACTAGCAACTCAAATAATGGACGAGACTATGCCTTGAAAAGGGGTTTGACCTACCAGCTTACCGGATCAACGGCGAATGGTTTTGACACAATATGCCTTTTTTCACCTACTTGTCTTACTTTTTGTTTACCAACTCATCGTTTTGGGCCTAACACTGGACAGAGGCTCAGGTCACCTTCTTTTCTGGCCTGTTCTCTTTCCTTCACACGGGAAACCCCCTGATATAGAAGCATTTACACCTCCCATGTACCATAGCCACCTGTTTTGATCAAATCCCACCTTTCTTTTGAGCCGTTACTTGTATAAATGAATATCAATATCTCAAAGTGTCCTTCCCATAATCTACTATTGTTCTCACTAATACGTTACTCTCGAGTTTTAACCTTCTTTGGCATGACTGCCTTGGCCTAGAACAAATGCCCTAAAAAACATGCGAAGCGGAGAGGTTGACGAATGGGTTAGAGAGCCATGCTAACTGGCCAATTTCCTGGCGTTTTATTGCTCAAAGGCACCACTGTACTTTCCACTAATATGATACTAGATAGGTCAATATTTGCTGTATCTCAACCTGACATCATCGGTAACACGATTATACGTTATTCATGACCGGCATAAGTCAAAACTAAAAGGACTAGGCAGTATGTATAACTATGTACAATCGGAAGGCACAAAGGCAAAATATTAATGTGTAGCACAGGTATCACTCCGAGGAAATACCGGAACACACAGAAACAAGAGTACGAATGGATAAAAAGTGTTTCAAAAGAGCACCGGAAAGCGATGCACCAAGACCATTATACGTGGGTCAGCGAACCAACGCTTATATTCCAAAAACAACGCAAGAAGGAGCCAGGGTCTGGCTGGGGGGGCGAATTGGTCAATCATCGTCGAAGATCTGGAATGTGTTATTCAGGATCGTCTCGACGACACGGACCTGCCACGCAGCGTCGGCGATGTTGCCACCGGTATTGGCACCCATGAGGGTTGGTCTATAACGAGAATTAGCCGGTCTGTATCTGATAACATCTCTGTTTATATAGGATGTGGAGTGTGCAAGGACATACCCGAAGCAAATGGCTAGATTGCCTGCGTTCATGCGGTTCTGGGTATAGTGTTCTTGGATCTTGTTGAGATGCTGCAATGGACTAAATTAGTATCTGGGTGGGAACAGAGACTAGGTTCATGTTGGGGATCGTACCAGAATGATGGCCCGAAGAGTGGCATAGTGGGCATCGGGCAGACTGTTAATAAGGGCGTGCATCGAGTCTCGGCGTTGGATGTCATCGTCGAAGCCTGCGGTTTCATATCAGTTTCTCAAACATAATTATGTACTCTCTCCATGGCATGAACACTACTTACGAGCGGCGTCAACAAACTGTTGGTAAAACTGAGTGGTGAACAGAGGGTCTGGTAGTTCCCTGAAGAATTGCTTCACAAGACCAGCAACACTGTTGACATCGTGGTAAAAGCTCTCTGGGTTTGTGAAGTCGACTTGCGATGAGTCTGTTCATGTGAGAGTAGGATTAGCAAGTTGCCCATATTTCCCTAGTGTCTGATCAGGTTTACCATTGTCGAACAAGGCTTTCATGTGACTAATGTGATTGGCACTACCCGAAAGTCGATAGATGCCCTCCACATCCAGACCGAACAGCTCAACTGCTTGGAAGCACTGGTACACAATGAGCGGAACTGCCGTTTTATCCCGGGCGTACAGGTCGTTCAGCGAGACACCGAACACTGGCTTCAACGGAGGGAGATTCGATTGGAAATTCCTGTCCATCGGGGGAGGTCCTGCCATTGGCACCTGAATCTTAGGTGCGGGTTCCGGAGCAAGCGGCCCTGAGACTGGATAGGGAGGTGTGCCCGCTGGGGGCGGAGTGAAGGTCTTCTCCGGAGGATAAGGTGACTGCGGCAGCCGGTCACCGCTATGTGGTGGCTGAAGCGCCGGCGAAGAGGTATTATTCGGGGTGAACGTCTGCGGCATGATTGACACGCGCTTATTTTGAGTGCTTGTTTGCGAAGGTGCCGCAGCGGGGGCAGGAGCAGAAGCAGAAGCAGAAGCTGAAGAAATAGCCCCAGCACCACCGAGTGTCTAGTCAATGTTAGTATAGTGAAGGAATCGAGGAACGATGCAGGACTCACAGGGTGGCGCTCATATTTGACCTGTTCTGAAGCCACAGCTCCCGGGTTGCCTTCATGGCTTAAAATAAACTCGTGGAGATCTCTCTGGTTATCGACTTGGCGAATAACATCGGCGAGGCTCTTGGGTGCTAATGGGCCGCTGCTCGCATCGGTCTTCAAAGGGCTGACGCAGAGACCTTGGCCAAGAAGCAATTTCTCGTTGAAAGTAGCTGTAAATCATAAGCGGATGAACAATGAAACCAGTATAAAAAAGGAATCGCACATACCGAACTTCTGCTGTTGCAGGGTCAAGCCCGAGTCACATTCAGCGATCAACTGCTGAAGGTTGTGTACCGCCTGAGGTCGGTGGGTAGACACTAGCTCCTGGCGTGCCGCCTGAGCAGCCTGAACCTTAGACCCATAATCGCTATCCGCGTTCTGGACCTTGCGCAGCAACTCCTCCTCGTGCTGCGCCGCAGACTTGTGGCCCTTGAGACCGAACTTTCCACCCTGCTTGTCTCCCGTGCGAACACGGTCATACTGCTCTGCCAACGACTCGTACTTGGCCTTTGCCTTCTCCGCCAGCGATTCTGCATCGACGACCCTCTTCTCTGCCGCTAACCCCGTCTGTTTCCATTGCTTGCGGCCGCGCTCGATGTTGGCGGCGAGCTCGTGTAGGTCATCGGACATCTGGTGGAGGGAGACGGCGAATTGGAGGCCATGGTCGACCATGCGCTCCTGGATTCGGTGGATGTCCTTGTAGCTAGAACTGTATGTTCCTTGTCGGTTCTCGGAACGTTGCGACGCATCGTTGATCACGCGGGACAGTCTTCTGAGCCCCTGAGCGTGCTCTTCTTCGAGAGTCCCTCGCTTTTTCAGGAAGGTTGAGAAATCCTAATAGATAATGTGTCAGCGTTTGCGATCGTAGTTGGAGTCCTTTACTAACCCTGGCGGAGGCCACGCTTTGCTTCAACCGAGTCAAGAGTGTGGTTATACCAATCTACTCATAATTAATACAATTGGATCTTTTGTTTGATATGCACCTGACGGTGGATCTACTCACATCAGAGTAGATAACCTTGTCCAAGCGGGCTTTCAGCTCATCTGAGATGGCTTCGTGGGGCTGGGTCTGCTCGCCCCCGTGGCTAGGGGATGAGCGACCGACACTCGACGGAGGCGCATCGGAGAGCGTCGGTAGCGCCGCGGATCCGTGTAGGGCTTGATCCGACATGGAAAGGTTCCTTAACTTGAGAGAATGTCAAGAAAGAGGAGTTAAATAGAGGGGGGAACGGAAAGCCTCACGGGCCACCTTCTATTATCGTAATGGCGTTAGGAGATCCAAACCAGGGGAAAATGCTGCAGCCTGCCTTTTTTTTGGGCTGAAACGTTGGCGTGAACCTATAGGAATGTCCTTAACAGGGCAGTCCAGTACTCTTGGGGTGTTTAAGACGTAATGGCGGATTCAGCCACACAAGTGGACCTTAGGCTTCTACCTCTCTAGTTCTAATTATGTACATTATTTCTATAACATATAACATATAGTAAACAGTAAAAATCACTTTTATTCTGGTATCGTCGCTATGAATATCAAAATTTATACACAGTAATTGGCTTCTATAAAACCGGAGGTGCGACAAAAGAGTCGGGAATGCCGTCAAAAACCCAATTGAGGGAATCAAAGACCTCTGAGAAGCCAGATTCACTGAAAAATGCTCCGCCTTCATCAAACTGAGCGGGCATCATCATAGATTGGTCCGCCAGGGAGCTATCCTGCTGTTGCCGCGTCATGTGTCCTGACGGGCCTAGTATATCTTGGTTCGCTGCTATGGCAGCAGCTATAGAAAGAAATCTGTTAAAAACTGGGAGAAAACAACTAAACGGGGAAAAAAGCAAAGAGGACTTACCTTGCATTTCCTCGAGGCTTTTGACCGGTCGGAACCGTTGTCGCCAGCGCCAAACCGTATCGTAGACATGGCTCATGCTCATGCGGCAGCGGACTTTAAGTTGTAGAGCATCTTCTTCGGCAGGCTCTAGGCTCGTGGCATTCCACATCTGAGCAAGGATGTCTGCAAGACGAATGGGACGGTCGTGATCCATGACACTGATTCGGCGAATTGCTGAAATCGCACCGTTGAACAGTAGCTTGCCATGATTGAAATCAAGGTGTCGGCTGAAGCTGCTCTTCAATAACTTCATGAGAGCGAAAGCAGCCGACACAATCATTTGAAGAATATAATTGGTGGAGTGGCCGATCAATTCACCTGGCGATGTTTCGAGATCTAGTACTCGACCAAGGAAGGAGGTCGTTGCAAGGAAAAGTTTGATCAGATCATCGCTTCGTGCAGTGGACCCCAAAAACATAAAGTATCGGAAGTGCAATTCTGCGGCACGGAGATGGATCGTGTTGATTGCTTGGTACGAGTGTGAGCGTCGCCAAAACTGGAATGATACGACAACTTACCGGAGATTTTTCCGTCAAACTCGACATCCATGTCTCTGAGTTCACTTTCCAAAACCTGCACGACCACGAGCTTGTCGGCACTGATAAACTCCGCAGGCTCGGGTTTACTACTGTATAATGCCTTGGTCACCCGGTCGCAGAATTTTTCGATACGCAACCGAATGGCCAGGTCATCGGGAAGCCGGTAGTCGGCATCTCTCAAAGAGGCAGGCTCAAGTGCCCAGTCGTATATTGTGCTTGGTGGCTGGCCGTAACCAGTCGCAACACTGCCGAATCCTCAATCAGTCTGTGATGAGCAACTATATATCGATAGGAATTACTCACTTCTGAGCCACGATGTTGCAAATGACCCACGTATGTAGCCGATCTTTTAAAGCTTCACCTTGAACTTCCATGCGGAATGTTGTGAACTCTTCCGCTTGGACCGGACGGTGCAGCCCAAGCTGCATAGCAATCTGCATCATCAAGCCACTGAGCATGAAGGTTGCATCGGTGCGCTGGCTTGTAGTGGGAAGAGGCCATGTACACAGAACACAAAGGGCCTTGACCACCCGGTAGTCCTGTGGGACACTAGTAATGGTTGACCAAAGCAGCCTGCTAAAGGGTCCGGACAGTGCACTCAAGAGCCCAGGCTCATATTGAGACCGTCGGCACGCAACACAGATCATAGTCCACGCCAAAAGAGGGCATCGGTTGAGATACACCTCTGGGGGCTTGGGTGGATTCAAAAGGGGAAGAAAGGGGTGATAATAGGTGAAGTATCTGTGCAGACGTTAATCGCAGAAGCGGGTCAAACGAAATGGGGAGCGCATACTGTTCGTATAGCCGAAGAACCCGGGCTCTAGAGAGACAAATATCTTCTAGTCTCCACTGGCCCTCATCCTGTGATATAATGGAACCGTCCCTTTTCATAGTCAAAGGGGTTGCTATAGATGAGTGGGTTGAAGCTTCAACCGGCACCGAAACATGTCGAGACTGGTCAATCGCGGCCGAGTCACGACGAGCAAAGACATCCTCTGAGCAATGGGACATTTCATCGCCTCCATGAGATTCATGAGGCTCTACAACTTGCTCATGATCTGAATTGGGTCCCAGGCGGCGGCGGAGATCTGCAATCTCCTTTTCCATTTCAGCATTGCGCCTGTGAAATGGAGTCAATAAGATGCGAGAGGGAAAAAAAAACAATCACAAAACCAAAACCAAAAAAACACTTTACCTTCTCTTGGAAATGCGTTTGAAGGACTGTTCCACTTTACAATCAATCCCAAGCCTGCGACAACGCGAGCAGGCCGCAGCGGGCGTTTGAACAATATCACATCTCAGCTATCAGGTTTTGAAATATCAGCGGCGATTGTCGGAGCCCCGATGCGGTCGGGGTTGGTTTGGGTATTTTGCATAGTAATTAGAGACATGCAAATGACTCACCTTTTGCTGCTTACATTCATTACAGGCTTTTCGGCTGCCACCCCGGCGCTTGCCTGTGACAGGCGGGGTCTTCTCCATATCGCAAGATTCCGAGCTTCTCTGCATGAAATCGATAACCGGGGGTGGCCGGGGTAGTGTGGGGGACCGAAAGTCGCTCGGGATTGAGTAATGTGGCCCATCCGGTGCCAGTATGTTCCGATACCCCAAATCCATCGAGATCAGCCTGTGTTCAGCCGGTATAAAACCCCACGAAACGTGAACGAGTGCTCGTGGAGTCCATGTGCCGTAAATCGGAGAAATCGGCCCGCTGAAGGAGAAAGTGGGGAATCTATCTGTTCATTGAGGACGTTGATTTGCGGGAGATTTGATGCCGAGACGAATCTCGGCGGTTGCTGATTCAGCTAGTGCCTGAGGCATTAATTACGTAATCTCTCTCCAAATCCCCCCAAGGTCCATGGATGGATTCCAGGGCAGCTATGAAGTATACAACAAACATGGATGCATAAGGATTTGAATACTTCCATAAAACATACTTTATAGCGTTACGTATGTAGTTAATTGCTACTCACCATTGAGATATTTCATATATTGCATATTACCTTATTTAAAGTATCAAACAAAAAAATACATATAGTTTTGAATCTATATTCAAGTTAAAATTGGAATTAGGTAGATATCATAGCTATAGCTGATATTTAAGCATATTAAAACCATCCATATAATATGGACTGGATGTCATACATCTGCACTGGGCTTTATGCCCCACTTCTCATGGCCCGAGGTCGATGTGGATTATATGATCTTCAATTACATTTACTCCGTACTCCGTACATATTTAACTATTTAAACCTCCCCCAAACTTGTTCCAATATCTACCCTAATATACCTGAATATCTTTGAATCTGACTTTGAACAAGTGAGTTCTATTGGCGATACTGGTACTACTTCATTACCCCCAGAGCTAACAACTCATCAAGTCATGGCCGAAATCAACGTCACCGCAGTTCTATCTCCAAAGCCAGAGAAGTTTGAAGAAGTCAGCCCTCATACTTCCCATGTTCTACAATGGTCTTAAGAGTCGACATATCTAACACATTACGTTGTTAGGTAGCTACTCTTGTAACCGAAGTTGTTAAACAGGTGCAAGAACACGAACCCAATACACTGCTCTACTATGCATTTCAAATCAAGGACAAGAATGAGATTGTGATTGTTGAGAGGTAAGCCAATTGAGTGTATAGGTCCCTCATACCTCCCCCGCATGAAGAGGCCGTGCCTCGGCCCAATCTAGCAATGCTTTGCCCCAATTTCCAAGATTCTGATCGGCTTTACAATATAGGTACAAGGACCAGTCAGCGATCCAGACCCACGTCAAATCTCCCTATTTCCGATCCTTTGCAGGAAAATTACCCACTTTGTTGGTAAAGCCATCGGAGATCAGGGCAGGTGGGTTCCTGAGTGGTTCGAGGGGCGTATCGCGATTGTAGTTTCCAAGGTTTCTGTTTGTTTTTTCTTTGGGATAAGGTCCCATATATAGCCCTGGAGCTGATGCCCGTTGGATAGATATAAATAGGATGGACCATGCATAAGCACACTTTTGGTATTTCCTATAAATGATTCGATGTTTATTAGACGCCATCCTAAGTACCGGCGTCACTCGTGATTCAATCGTCATGCGATTGGTGCATTAGTGATCGCTGACCAACAGATAGGAGGTCTGTGAGATATTAGGAGAAATTCGATCCTACAGAAAAATGAAATAGTGTAATAAAGATTGCTATATATCTATATTGTACATACTCCGGAGTATATCTCTTATTTAGCACACATAATATTTAGAAACAAGTGGAGACATAAAAAGGGTTTTGATCTCCTTATAAGAATATAATCTAGTGACCTGTTTTTTTACTAAGGAACTAGTCTGGTTTCCCTTTTTTTCTCTCTCTCTTCTGACTCTAATATTTTTTTTTTTTGGTGAGAGATCTCTCCTTTCATCTTTTCTCCACATCTTTCCCACCCCCCTCTTTTTCCCTAAGCTCTCCAACCTCCTTAGCTTCAACCCCCTGAAGCTAAAGCTAATATTCTGAAAAGATACCCTGCTTTTGGTCCAACCCCTGGAATTTGGCGCTTTTGATTATACATTTTTTGCGACATGGCGACGGGTCCGGCTACTCAGTCACTGAAGGTGGGTAGTTGATCCGATCCATGAGGATGCGCAGCTAATTGATGGCAGTGTGTGGTGACTGGTGATGGTGCAGTTGGCAAAGTTAGTATCCCCGAGACCCTATCCCCTAATGCGATACTGACAATTCCCTAGACATGTCTTCTGATCTCGTACACAACGAATGCTTTCCCGGGAGAATACATCCCTACTGTGTTCGTACCCCTCAATGCGAAACCTTCCCGAACGGACATTGATATCATTACAGCTTTGACAACTACACGGCGAGTGTTATGGTTGACGGCCGGCCGATCAGCCTGGGATTGTGGGATACTGCTGGACAAGAGGATTACGATCGCCTGAGACCGTTATCCTACCCTCAAACCGATGTCTTTTTGATCTGCTTCTCCATCGTCAGCCCGCCATCATTCGATAACGTCAAAGCAAAGGTATGAACGGACTGAACATACCCAGGAGACCTACATCCTTCCTATTCCAGGCGACTAACCCTTCCCCGCTTCTAGTGGTTCCCCGAGATCGAACACCACGCCCCCAATGTCCCCATCATCCTCGTCGGTACCAAGCTGGATCTGAGAGACGACCGCGCGACTACAGAAGCCCTTCGCGCACGCAAGATGGAGACCGTCTCCTACGAACAAGCCCTGGCCGTGGCCAAGGAGATTCGCGCACATAAGTACCTTGAATGTTCGGCGCTGACACAACGCAACCTGAAGAGCGTGTTCGATGAAGCCATCCGGTACGTTTTCACTCTTTCCCGAGATTACTTGCGTATATTGGCCTGTTTCTAACCGTATAGCACAGGGCCGTTCTCAATCCCCGTCCCGCTACGAAATCCGGGAGGAAAGCAGTCAAATGCAGTATCTTGTAGAGCACGTTTGTTTGGCTTGACTCGTCTCCCATGTTCTCGTATGCTATAATGAATTATATATAGTTAATACGGCGTCTGGGTAGTTAGAGGCTTTTTTTTTAATTTCGCCGGCCTCTCAGTCCTGTTTTGTGATGAAATCCATTGACCGTTTTTCTTGGGGATATTTCCTGTCTTTGCCCTCTTGGCCCTTGTTTATAGTTTGTCCCAATTCATTCGCGATGTTCTTGACTCCAAAATTATACCTTGGTCATTCTAAGTCTGTAGTTCAAGTTATGATGTCCAATCGGGCAATGTTTGCCGGGAAAGCACAGAAAAAAGCATATGAATTGGTATCTTCAAAATCAAGTAATAGAGACATGAAGTAAGTACTTTTTGGAAAAAAACCAGCCAAACCTGATGCTCCCGGGAATGCATGGCTATCAAAATGTCCAGCTGCCTGCAGATGCTCCGGACACCTTGCTGTACACTGTTCCGATCCACCGAGTTGAGACTGTTTCAAGTAAACCATAGCAGTGAACCAGCGGTCTTTGTTGGTTTAAACACGGCCTCTGCGGCTAGGGTGCAGACCAGCCCACTGATCGTTGTTGTCGGCGCTGGGAGCGTTGTCAGCTACACCGTCCATGCCAGCAGCGTTGGCACCAGAGCCGCCAGCCGGGGCAGCCTTCTTCTCGTGCTTTCTCTTGTCCTTCTGGATATCCTTGGCCTGGCGCTGGCGCTCCTCGTTGAGCTTCTCGTTCTTGGCCTGGATCTTGGCATTGCGATGTTCGGACTTAGCGCCACCGCCGCCAGCACTGGAATTGGTAGTTAGTATACGGTCGGTTTGCAGTTGGATTTTCTTGCTTGGAGAAGACTTGGAAATAATGATCGTTTTCTCCAATTGGGGGGTGATAACTTACGTCAGCTCGACGTTCATGCGTCGGGGTGGGTACTTTCCGTCGTCGAAGTTGGAGTGGTGGTACAGCTTGAGGCAGGTCTTCATGCGGTCGTAGTTGTCAAACTCAATGAATGCAAAGCCGCGGCATTTAGTGGGGTCTTCCTTCTTGGTTGCGACGCGGATTGTGGCCGGGGGTTCTTCTCGAAGTGCTTGCTCAAGGACTCATGGTTGGCGGAGTAAGGAAGGTTTCCTGCATATGCGAATATCCTTTGATTAGTCTTGTGTCTTTGGGTCGGGGTAGTCCATCTGGATTGGAATCACTTACCGACAAAGCAGATGAAGCGGGAACTCTTCTGGGCCTGCTCGGCCTCCGCGGATTCAGCAGTAGGCTCTCCTTCAGTCTCAGCCACGGGCTCGGCATTCTCCTTCTGCTGCTTCTTCTTCTCCTTCTGCTTCTCCTTCTTCTCCTTCTTCTTGTCCTTCTTCTCCTTATCGGCGTCCACCTTCTCGGTAGGGATCACATCAACATCCATAGCGTCCTCGGAGGGAGCAGCAGGCTTAACATCGACCTCCTCCGCCTTGCGCTTCTCCTTCTTCTTGTCCTTCTTCTCCTTCTTATCGGCGTCCACCTTCTCGGTAGGGGTCACATCAACATCCATAGCGTCCTCGGAGGGGGCAGCAGGCTTAGCGTCGGCCTCCTCAGCCTTGCGCTTCTCCTTCTTCTCGGACTTCTCCTTCTTCTCGGACTTCTCCTTCTTCTCAGACTTGTCCTTCTTCTCCTTCTTATCCTTCTTGTCCTTCTTTTCCTTCTTCTCCTTCACCTCTTCCTGTGCCGGGGCAGCAGTCTCGGTGGGGGTGACAATCTCGGATTCCTCGCGCTTTTCCTTCTTTTCCTTCTTGTCTTTCTTGTCCTTCTTCTCCTTCTTCATCTTCTTGCCCTCGGGCGCGACGACCTCATCCTGCACGAGTTTGCGCTTGTCGCCCATTGTGATGGTATGTGTGAGGTAAATTTGTGGTGAAAAGGGACAATGGTGGGATGGAATGAAAACAAGACAAATGGAAGTCTTGGGATGTTTGGGAAAGAAAAGAGGTGGAGAAGTTTGCAGCGCAACGAGACTCAAGCTCCAAAAAAAGTCGGGCGGAGAGAAAAGTAAAATTAAATTTTTGCCGCGCCTGGGGAGGCGGTGAAGACAGGCTACTTGATAAGGCCTTGGTTTTTATAGTTCGATCTACGCACGCTAAACAATTGTATGAATAGATTCAAGTCTGCATGTACTTAAATCATATAACAGTATAAAATTTCGTGATCAGCCTTTTGTTAGATTAGAACACCAAGATCTTCACACCCTTCTTTGCCCCATAGCGCTCACGCAGTTCCGGCCGAGTAAGCAGCTTTAGCAGCGGCATGTGCGTGTCCTTCATATCGAAGATGCCTCGTTGCTTCTGGTCAACGTGTGATCCATCAATGACAATGCGCTCCAGCTCCTCCAGATTGAGAGTTCCTAGATATCAATTATTAGCATTTTTATACATGAGGGAGTAGAGCTATGTATAGATAGCAACTGAGCGAACTCACCAGACTCGATCAAATCAGATATTCTGGTTGGGGTTCCAGCCCCGATACCAGACCGAGCACGTTGAAGGAACTGCTTTGATTCCTCTAGCTTGATGTGCTTCGCGAACAGCTTTCCTACAATGCTATCCTTGGTTTGGAAAGAGCGTAGTGCCCTAGTAACATCAATTGTTAGACCCACCTTCGACTCATACCAGAGAAAAGATTGAACGTTGCCCACTTACCGTACAACATCAGCGGATCGCAGAGCAGCACCCGAAATGACTAGTGTATGGGGGGTACCGTTCTTCTCAGACGACTTTGACAGGTCGGCACCCTTGGGACTGAACGACTTGAGGAATTCGGGGAGTTGCTCCAACTTTCGAGTGGAGGTGAAGGAAGAGGTATCGAGGAATGCGGAATCTATAGATTTGTTAATGTCTAGGACACCACTTGGCCTTGGCTGACAGAACAACAGGAAGTACACGTACCTGGAACCGAAAGGTCACTCAGTTCAACAGCAGAGAGCTCCTTCTCGTGTCTTTTGGCTTTCTTCGCAAAGTGATCGCCCAACAACCGGCCGTCCATCTTGCCAATCGACTCGTCAATGCCATCTTTGCGTGTTGACTGGTTCTCTTCATGTTCAGCCTGCTTCTTTTTGTTTACGGTCTTCTTCTGCTTTTTCTTGCTTGATCCCTCTGCGGGTTTGCCTGCCTCGGGCTTTTCTTGCTTGGGAGCAGCATCGTCGGCTTGTCTCTTGCGCTTGTTTTGGAGCTTATTGGCAAGTCCTGTAGGGGCATTTGTATCAGCCATTGTGATGATAGCCAGTATGAACTTGGCGAAAGAATCTTCCGAGTATTGTAAGCTTCAATTGGTAAATGCAAATCGCATCGAGACTTCATTGCGCAAAAAAAAACCGGCTGATTCAGCCAATCTTATCGATAAGAGGGGACCAATCATGCACTGACCCGCAATTGTTGTTTCTAGACGCGACAGACAAACATCAACGTCAATCTTGTAATTCACTGTTCGACCAGTTGATCTGGGATTTTATTGTGGTGGTGACCACATATGTGGTCTGGTATATTGCGCATGATATAGGTGTACTCATCTTGTGGGAAAAATCAAACTATGTCTACTTCTACCCCAAACGCGCGTGGCCGTCGGTCACCACTTGGGACTGCTACCCCATCTGGGGATACAACATTGACCGGAGTGAGTGGTATCCATTACCTTTTGGGAGGTTGGAAAATTGCTGACCATATCTCCTCCTTACAGCTCCAACGCCTTCCTGGCCATACACGCTACCCTCTCACACCAAGTCGACTTGTTACCGCAGCCACCCCGGGCACCCAACGGTCCGCCTCTCGATACACACCACGCGCTCGAGGCGTGGGTGCGCCAGCAACACCGTACGGACTCCGTGCCCGACAACAACGAGCGGCAAATACCCCTGGTCGGGATCGGCGACGAAGCGGCAGAATGCAGCGGGAGACTACATTCGATATTCTTAGGAACCTGGGCAGAGGTAAGAGTTCCACCACGCCTTCAACACGATGAATTGAATTGAACTAGTTGGCCCGGTCTTAGCACTCGCTCCTATATCTCAACCTATCCGCTCCTCGCCGCAGGACAAGCCAGAGCCTATTGAAGAACCAATCGATGAATTTGAACAGCTTGATAATGAGCCAGAAATCGAGCGACCACGGTTATCTCTGCCTATTCAGGAGTCCGAGGAAGAAGGCGAAGAAGCGAGTCCTGAAATACAACCCCCGAGGATGTCTCTCGCCTTCGCCGAAGAGGATATGGATATTACCTATCAATCTGTTGAATACCCTCGCGACGCCAGCATCAGAGACCGGGATCGGCTATCAATGATGAGCCGAGCTACCGGCAGAATCAGTGGAGATTTTGACGAGACACGATTAGAAAGCGATGATGCAGATGAAACTGGTATTGTGGGTGAGGATGATGAGGCAGAGGATACAATGATGAGTGGGGGCGACTTTGATAGAGGGTGGGTATACAAGAGTTGGATTGTCTATGTTACAAAATCTTGGCTAATATCACAAATAGGGGGGAGACTGAGGACCTGGGCCGCTTCCATTTTGACCTCAACTTTCCATCTCCTGCGGCTGCTCCGCTTGAAGATCCCACTGGCGGGGATATGAACGATATGGAGGATTTCGCACTGTCCACCGCGGAGCCACCCCCAGCTCCATCAGACAATGATGATGACGACGTTGGAGGTGATTTCGGTTTCGGACTCGAATTCCCACCCGCAGCATCCCCCAGTGAGAGCCCTGGGATTGTTGGAGGTGGGTTGCGAGATGAAGCTATACCAGCCCAGGGCAAGCAAAAGAAGATTTCACGACATGGAATTCCTGTCCCAAACTTGCCTGCAGGTGTGGTAAAAAAGCTAGCGACTCGGTTCGCGCGTTCGGGGGCTGGATCAAAGGCAAAAATCAACAAGGCCACGCTGGCCGCGATCGAGCAGGCATCCTCGTGGTACTTTGAGCAAGCAAGCCAAGACTTGGCTGCGTATTCAAAGCATGCGGGACGGAAGACAATTGATGAGAGCGATGTCACCACATTGTTGAGAAGGTCAGTCTCCTTAGAAGCCAACCATCCTATGGGAGTAATTGCTGACTTGTTCCAGGCAACGCCATATCAACAATTCGACGACAGTGTTTTCCCTCGCCCAGAAACATTTACCCAAAGAACTTCAGCAAGACATGAGATTGGCCATGCCTCCATGAATGTCCAGAACAGATTTCTCCATGAAAAGTAACGCTTTCAACGCCAGTGAATTATGCTAAGGTAAATCTGGAATCCCGCTACCGATTACCAGTTTCGGTTCTGGCGAACTCGGCGCAGCGCCTCGTTCGGGTTCTTCCGTATAACCATCCACATCATGATGGTCGTGGCCAAAGACAAGCCATACCTGCAGAGTATGAGCGACAATCTCGAGTTGGAAAAGAGAGCAGGCAACGGATCCAACTTACCAGGTGAAGATGTATTGAGAATGATTGTTTCTCAAATTCACCTCTGCGGCGCGGCCAATCGGGATACCCTTGGCCTCGCGATCATACGATTCGAGGAGGTCAGGCACTGGAAACACAAACCATTGTTAGCTATGCATTAGCAAGATGATTCAATATAACCTCCTTACCCATTGTCTGCTCAATCCAAACAGGCTGGCTCCCGCTCTTCTCTGCCATCTGGTTGATATCGGGAAAGTAGAACTTTCCCTCCTCCGGCTTGTTATCAGGTGTAAACATGTTTTTCTTCCATGGCTCTCGTAGCAAACCCTCCACGGTCACCTCTTCGTCTAGTACACCCAAAGGCCGGTCTTTTTGGTCCTTCAATTTCCTTGAGATCCAACCCCGGTTCACAAGTACGGTGCTCTGTCCCTCTCGCTCAAGGGGAGTCACCACGATAAACCCGTCCTCTCCCTCGTTCATACGGGGTCCAACCAGCATTTCTTTGTCATGACGGAGACGGCCGGTAGCATACACGCGGCGGTAGTCGAACTCTGAAATGGCATCCGGGTCGATTCGCGGCGGCAGTGGCAGAGGAGGCTTCACGAGGCGGTCCTCAAATTTGGCCATCAGTTTGGTTTTCCATCCCAGGCGCTGTACTTGCCATGTTCCCAGGATAAATGAGATGATAGGAATCAGAGCTATACATATGTAGAAGAATACGTTAATGATTATCTTCAGCCATTAAGATGTAGTATTCTCAAGAATAGGTAGCATTGCACATTGACATACCCAAAATGATCAGACCAGGGCCATGTTTCTTATTTACACGGACAAGCCTTGCCGGGTGGTCCACAATATTCAAACTCTCGGCCAGCTGGCGCGATTGTGAGATATGGCGGAATTGTTGTAGGCGGTATTTGGCACAGATGGAATTGATCTTCGAGGATACACGAGGGCTCCGAACAGCCCGAGTCGGCGGTGTCCAGGCCCTCGCGGATGCCTTCTGCAGAGCAGAAAAAATCGGCCGCATGTCGAAGGGTTGGAAAATGTGAAGAGTGAGTTGAGGTTTGGACGGGGTTAAGAGTTGGAGTTTCTTGCAAATGCGACGGCAGTTGGAATTTCGGGATCGGGGGTTTACCGTGACCGCCCAGGCTTCTCCAATCTATACTTGTCTCTCCGCACTGGCCTTCTCATGTCCTGCCACTAAGTCTTTACCGGAATGCGATCATGACACTTTTCTACAACGGATCCCTTCAGGAGGGCATTGCTGCTGCAGTGAGAGATGCCAAAGCAGTTACTTGCTTTGTTAGAGGTCGCTAGGTTTCTCCCCGCATCGAATGACATGTTGCTGATCTTAGTACGTGAACATACAGATGACGAGGAGTTGAGCTCTCAATGGGAGGACGCTTATTTTGGTGATGATGAGGTACATCCACTCGCTATGGTTGAATGTCTGGCTATATCTGACTCCTTGTAGGTTGCGCAAGCACTCAATGCCAAAGCAGTTGTATTGCGCTTGACAGCGGGGTCACAGGAAGCTGGATTCCTGGCCTCTTTCTGTCCGATCTCGAAATTTCCGACTGTTGTCCTTATAAAGTGCGTTCAACCGTGCAACCCCTGTGGGCAATCCGGTGTTGGTTTGCTGACTTCGTTCCAGGAATGGCACGCTGAAGGAATACATCGGGCCAGATATCTCCAAAGATGACTTCCGCAGTCGATTGATTGCAGCTTTGGGAAATGAACAAATACCCAGTCCCACACAACAGCTAGAAGGGAATGGCACTCCTACCGCTTCAACTCATACTACGCCGGTATCAGTCGCGCCCCGACCCCAGCCTGAGGCGCCATCCAATGCCAGCAAATCTGCAAAGCAAGAAAGCGAAACTGCAATCAAGAAACAATCACTAGTTGAAAAAAAAATACCCAAGAAAGCTGCAGAACCTGCCAAATCATCAGGGTCTACGTCTCAAAAGCACTTATCATCCAAAGAAGCCAGCAATAAAGATATTAAAGGCAAAGCACCGATGGGGTCTAAGAAACCCACTGACGAAGGTGTCGTGAAGAGCGAACGCCAAGAGTCAAAACCTGTAGTCCCTCGAGGACCTCCAACCGAGTACCGGTTGCAAGTGCGCCTGTTTGATGGAAGATCCGTGCGATCCAGCTTTACGCCCACTCAGAACATCCGAAATGATGTACGGGCTTGGCTTGATGAGAAAATGGAAGGCGACAACCGACCCTACAACCTCAAACATATCTTAACCCCTCTCCCTAGTGAAAATCTTTCCGTTGCCCAAGAGTCACAAACCCTCCGAGACTTAGGTCTTGGTTCCACCGCGAACCTAGTCATGGTTCCTGTATCAACATACACGGAGGCCTACTCGGCAGCGGGTAGCTTGCCCGTTCGTGGTATCTCTGCCGTGTACAACCTGGCCTCTTCTGTTGCCAGCACTGCGACAGGCCTTGTAGGTTCATTCCTTGGGTATGGCTCAACCGCACCGGCAAGCGATGCAGCCACTTCTTCGGCCTCTTCGGCCTCTTCGGCCCCTCCGGCTACTGGCAATTCCCAACGTCCTAGGACCACGGGACCAAATATCCGGACCCTGAGGGACCAGCAAGATGGACGTGGGAACAATCAGTTCTACAACGGGAACCAGGTGTGTGATGCTCAGTGGGAATATCTTGTTCAGGAGTGGCTAACATCTTTATCAGACGAACTTCGAGCCACGGAGGAACCAGGATGACAAGGATAAATAAATCCTAGCGGTATTGATTTGGTGTTATTGCATTATTTATCTATGGCGTTGATGGGATCGGATTAGCCCACGCTCTGTACTACGACACCCTGGCTATTGTTCGCTTTTTGGTTACTGTAAATTTAGTTATCATAACAAGTGACTTTGTCTATGTTATTACTGCTCTTTCCCATCGTATTTGGATTTTATGCAGGTATTGGTTTAAACAATCATCAGACTGCTACATATGTACAAATGTAAGAAGTTCGTTAAATTCATGCATTTGATTCTTGATCTGGTAGTCAAGCATTGATTCCTTTATCGAGGAGAGATGGTATATAGTACAAATAGGGGATATGGAAATGGCTATGCAAAGAAAGATTAGCTATGAGCGATCAAGCCCATAACCCCATCAGTTATTACTAAAAATGGTATCTGTCTTTCTGATCACCAAGGGTCAAATTGGTATCAAACCCTTAGTAAGGCTTGGCGGCAGCCTGGCAAGCTTTCTGCAGGACATTAGTATGTATCCAAAAAAAAGATAAAACCCGAAGAAGTGTAAACATACCAGCTGATCAAGGTACCAACCGCAGATGCCCATGTTACCCTGGTTCTCATCCATGCAAGTGCGGAAGTTGCGGACATCAACCTCACAGGCAGGATTCTCGTACGAGTTCTGTGCAGCGTTGCTCTGGTAGAGGCCGTTGTCCATAGCCTGGGACTGAGCAGGGGGAGCCTGCTGAGCCTCAGCGGGGGCGCTGGAGCCACCGCCGAAAAAGCCACCGATGGCGTGGCCGATGGAGGAGCCGACGGCAACACCACTGTATCAAAATAATCGTTAGCACATATGCCGGAAAAGTCGATCCTAACCCCGGATTATATCGGGGAATCAGGTACAAAGCCGGATCTGGAACTTACGCTGCGGTCGAGGCCATCTGGCCGAACAGACCAGGGCCGGCGCTCTGCTGCACGGGAGGGGCCTGCTGGGCCTGTGGGGGGTGAGCGGCGGTCGAGTGAGGCTGCGACTGCTGCTGCGAGGGAGGAGCCGCGGGCCGAGCAGGAGCGGCGGTAGGGCGGCTGGGAGCGCTGCGCGCAGGGGTGGGAGCGGCACGACGTTGTTGACGAGGCATTTTGATGGTTATGTGTGGGTTTGTTTGGACGAATGTAAAAGAGAGATGAGGATATGCAAGTTATAAGTATAAGGGCTAGTGGAGAAAGAAGAAGCTAGAAGATGAGTAAGTTCGGCCAGTGAGGCAAACTCCGATGCAAACCTTGGAGCTTTGTGGATGATGATTGGTGGAGGATTGTCACGTGGATCCGGACATTACGGTGCCGGTTGGCCGGCGCGGAGACAGGAACGGGAATTACTAAGGGAATAACTAACTAACTAGCATGTGCTAAATATTAAGAGCGATATAATGGATGTGCGCAAATTATGTTATGGAAAGGAGTACTCGGTTACATCCACTAGCTTGTGTATAGAGTGTATCGCGGAGCTTGTTGTAGCTCCCATTGCGGAAGGGTATCTTGATTCATGGAGACATCGAAGTCTCGTACATAGTACATAGAGCCACTCATTGTGGTCTCAAAATGGCCGAGACATCCATCTAAATGGAAGCTCATGACCGGACAGGCTCAGCAAAGCGATGATTAGATTCGACAATGCATGTCGTGTGGACAGAGGTTCTGATAATGATGACGCATGGCCAATGCTATGCTTTTGAGACCGCCCGGCAGTCCGTCCTGAGCATTCGAGGTATTCGAGGCGCAAAGGCAGTCCGTACTTAATTCCCTAATCGGAGCGCAATGCATTCATTGGGCCTTTCGAGCCTTTCGAGTCTCCTCCTTCTTCGCCCGTCGCTCCTTCTTCTCTTCTTTCAGTGTCGCCTTGCTGATCTTCCTCTCCTTCTTTGCCTTGCTGTTTGTTGATTTGGGTTCTCCCTTCGATTTCTTTTTGTTATCCTTCTTTTCGGGCTTTGCGGCGAGATTTGTGTCAATCTGGGGCTCTGCTGCTGTTGCAACTTCCACACCACCTTCGGAATCGTCATCATCAGAGTCGTTATCGTATTGGGCTTTCGAGGCCTCGGTGCTCTTGCGAGCGAGCATTGCTGCTTTGAACTCAGCACGGGCTCGCTCTTTTGCCTGCTTTTCTGCCCGTTCCAAGTCATACTTATCATTGCCAGCCTATGTAGATTTGGTCAGCAGCTATTGCAATACAATAGAAGACATCAACACTTACAAGACCATGTTTGATGAATCTGCCTGCAGCTGCCTTATCAAGGGTCATGGGGCGTTCCTCAGGCTCGGTTTCCAGTACCTTGATCTTTTCAAAGTACTGCTTCACACGAGTCAGTTCCCGGAACACTGGGTGCTGCTTTGCATCCACGCCATGAAGCCGCAGATAAGCTGCCCAATTTCATTAGTATAGAGAAATTTAGTAGGCTGTAGTGCGACATACAGAAGATTAGTGATTCTAATGTGTAGGTGATCAACACATGAAGTTTTGCTTTGTCCATAACAGGCAATTTGTTTGAGCTTTTGACAAGAGTGCTAGCCAGAATAGGCTGGAGCACTTCCTCCAAATCATCGACATTGTCGTCCAGCTGCTCAAGCAGTGGTAGTAGGTCTGTTGGGTCCATGGCGGTGAGGTGTGGTGTAGATGAGAAATTGCTTGATCTAAGAAAAAAATAGGACAGGTCCAAATGGGGCGGTGGAAGCGGGCGGTGTGGATTCTGGACCGATCATCATCTGCGCAACTGAGATCGCCGAGAACTCGTGCATATCCAACAATTGCTTGATTGTTTGAAAATAGGCCTTGGTGGACACACCAGTGGCCCGTCTCTTATCTGTTCGACAATACCCACGACATAAAAACCGATCCCCCACCAAACCCATCGTTCTGACCTCCTCCTGTCACCAAACACATACTTGCAACTCAATCGGATATCCCGGGGAGCTTTTCCTCGGTGCTATCAGAATGCAGTCGACATTTCGGCCCCGTTCTTTGTGGCGGACTGGTATTCTTGGTACATGTTTTCGGTCACGGTTTCAGGTCTATAGTGGACTAAACACACGATTTATCTCAACATGGAAGGAAGAGTTGGATGAGGTCAACCATGCGACCAACGCACCCCTGTCAGGACGAGTACATATCCTCGGAATGGGCAATCTAGGTTGCTTCTTTGCTCATTCTTTAGCCACGAGACGGTCACCGCCGCCAATCACAATATGCTTGCACAATGACTATCTCTACCAGGCCTTTGTTCGGAAAAGGGGACAAATCTCTGTTAGCACGCATGGCCTTGACGATGTCAGAACTGGATTTGATGTTGAAACAGTGGACGAAGAAGGAAGATGGTATACCATGCCTCCTGCTGACAAGCGGCCCTCATCGTTCAATTCCGAGTTCCAATCTCAGCCAGATAATGGTCCCATCGAGTGCCTGATTATCTGCACCAAGGCGCATCACACGGAGCTTGCCATTAAAGACATCAGTCACCGCTTGACCAAAGACACGACCATTTGTTTTGTCCATAATGGCATGGGCGTACTTGACTCCATCAATCAAAATGTTTTCTCCGATCCCAACAATCGACCACACTACATCCAGACAGTCTTCAGCCATGGTCTGGGTAGAAATGACTCGTTCAAGATCTCGCATTTGGGAGTTGGGACCACGATCCTTAGCCCGGTGGGAGATCCCAATATTCCTCCCACAACGCCAGAAGCCGACCATACGTGGGCGCCATCCACAAAATATCTTCTGCGCCTCTTGACCCTCACTCCGCCCTTGGTCGCTGTGGCTGATACACCGGCTGGTCTATTCCAATATCAACTTGAAAAATTGGCAGTGAACTGCGTAATCAATCCCCTGACTGCACTGAGCGACTGTACCAATGGCGAACTCCTCTACTCGTTCAGTTTTACCCGTGTCATGCGGCTGCTACTCTTTGAGATCTCTGCTGTCATCTGTGCTCTTCCTGAACTGCAAGGTATCCCGGGCATCGAAGATCGCTTCTCCCCAGAACGCCTGCGTCGCTTAGTTGTGAATATCGCGAGCAACACGGCCAAGAACCACAGTTCGATGCAGCAAGATATCAACCAGAGGAGATTGACAGAGATTGAATACTTCAACGGATGGATTGTGCGTCGCGGCGAAGAACTGGGTATCAAATGCGCACTTAACTACATGATCAAGCATTTGGTCGCTGCCAAAGCGGCTACCCATCGGAGCCGAGAAGCTGGCGCGATTCCCCTTGATCTCGACAATGTTATCTCTACCAATGAGCCTCCCATTTAACAGATCTGGACTATCTTCTACTCTATCGAGTTCTTACTCTACCTTGGGTCCTTGTCATATCGCTCTGTGTGTGAGCAGGTCAAAAGATTCAAGAATAATCTAAATTCTTTGCGGAGAATATCTACACAGAGACGGTTTTGGCTGCATGTTCGCAGAGATCCTTGATCTGCCTCCACCGTCTCAGCAGCATATCTGCTTTTGAACGATGTGCTTGCACTGTGGTGTTGAGTTCCATGGCCTTCTGCAGCGCTGTTATAGTTGCATCTGCCTCTGCGGCATATGTCAGAATCCACCTTTTGATGGTGGCCTCAGATCGACTCTCATCCAAGCCCTGTGATTGGCCTTCAACAACATGGTTCCGCCAATCCTCCTCCTTCATATAACTCAGACATGCAGCGACCTCTGTGCGGTAACAGGGTCCATGGGGAGTAACTTGGTAGTTACTGGCGCTGTGTCAGTAGAGAACTGTATATATTGCGTGGGAAATGCGCATTGTTATGTAAAATATCAAATCAAACCACATACCCATAATACTGATTCAGCCACAACTCCTCTTGCTGCCCGGCGGAAGGGATGTCCCGAAAAACGATATCGTCAAGGTAAATTGAATCTGCTTCATTCACATCAAGGAAGAAGCCATCTATGGAAAGAGAAGGAAGTCAGCATGTTGAAAAGAAGCAGATAATAACACTTTCTCACACTCTGCTAGTAATGTATCATTCGGATGACTGCCGTAGTTCATGAACACTTCCTCGCCCTCCTTATAATCTTTCGTGGCGCGAAATTCATATGTATTCTCATCAAACTTGACATCCCGCTGTTTCCGTCTATGGTTAGCTCAACAAATATAACATGAAACCCAGACGGAGCACGTACGGCAACGTCTGCATGATTGAAATAATCAGCGAAAGGCACCAGCCCCATCGCATCATTAGGGTCTTCCGGTGTTTCCTGTCCCTCGCCAACCCAGTAGAAGCTCCTTGTATTCACAACCAGCCAGTTGTATGAGAATGTCTCCCAGTTGGTATCCGGGAAGACCGAAATAACATCCGTCCATGCTTTGCGCAGGCGCTGAGCCTGCTGCGAAATAATGTTCTGGTAGTCTGCGCTGTATTTCTTCGTCTTTGGGCCTGGCTCTAGGGTATTCCAGAGCCCTGAAAGTGATGGGGGAAGAATACTTGGCTGCTCCGAGTCAGTCGGGGCGTCATCTTTACTGCTGGGCAGCTGCAGTCCTCCCAGGGCGGTTGGCCAGAGGATCGGCATGCTGTCTTCGAAGTCTTTTCGGCTGGGCCATGACTTGCGCCATAACTCGTATTTTGACAGTTCATCTGATGTACCATGCGTGAGATATGCCGCTAGGAGTGCATGTACAGCAATGTCTTCTGGAAGTCTGTCGATGAAGGTGGAAGGGATATCTTCGGCCCTTAGCATCAACTGTGTCGGCACTTGGAGGACAAGTTCTCCTTTCTGGACAGATACTCGGTGAGTAAAGATATAAATGAGGAGTAGATATAGCCTTGAGGGTTCATACTTTGATGTTCCGGGTGGCCATCATTCCCAGCCCACGCCCTTGGAACCGGGCTGGGGTCACCGACTTGGTGTCTATGCCATTGGAGATTGCCCATTCGGTGAAGGCCTCGTGCTCTTCCCCAGGCCACCATTCTGGCTTCATATTGTATGGGATTTGTGCTTCTTGGCAGAATTTGAAGTTCTTGCTCCAGTCAGTATATACTACGAAATAGGGAATGAGTTGGAGCGATGTACATATGTTAGCACACACCTTCAGGTGGGGCTGTTCTGTTGTATCCTGTTCTCTCAAAGCAGAAAGCCTAAAAAGAATGTTTAGTAGTCTCAATGGGCATCGATGTGTGTCTGAAATTCACTCTACAATGTGGAGCAGATGGTTATCGGCGATAAACGGCGTTATCGCAAATTATGGCAGGGCACAACGGCCATTCATGCTGTTCCTGCCGATCTGATAATCATACCACTTCTACGTTTACTTCAGCTTTCGTCCCAGACCATGCACAATTTCTTCTGGCTTTGGGATTCATAATGTCGGTACTTGGGAGGCGTGGAGCAATTGAGCTTCGGGTCTTGGCTGCCGGCCCAAATCTATCAGCTGCAAGCACTCTACGGCCTTTCTCCGTTTTGAACCGCCCACCACCAAACTACCCTGGCCACGTCCCATTGACTACTATCGAACGCGGGGCTCTTGCTGTAGGCTCAGCAATTGGATCCCTTATTAACCCTAGGAGAGCAGGTGGGTGGATATAATTTCCTAAAGAACCAGTATAGAATCACGGATCACGATCTAACATGGTACTCTATAGATCTCATTGCAGCCTTAGGCGAAGCCACCGCAACACCATTTTTCATATACCGACTACGTGATGCCATGCTCTCAGATCCAACAGGGCGCCGCATTCTCCGCGATCGTCCCCGCATCACCTCCGAAACCCTCAAAATGGCCCATCTCCGTACCCTCCCCGAGAATTCCGTCGGCCGGACATACGCCAAATGGCTAGATCGTGAGGGCGTGTCCCCCGACACCCGAGATAACGTCCAGTACATCGACAATGAAGAATGTGCATATGTCATGCAGCGATACCGCGAGTGCCATGACTTCTATCATGCAGTGACGGGTCTACCGATTTTTGTGGAGGGCGAGCTTGCTCTCAAGGCGCTAGAGTTCCTGAACACGCTTCTCCCCATGACAGGGCTAAGTCTATTCGCCTTTGTGCGGATGAAGCCCGCTGAGAAAGAGCGGTTCCTCTCGTTACATCTCCCGTGGGCTATTCGCAGTGGGCTTGGGAGTAAGGAGCTTATCAATGTTTATTGGGAGGAGGTGTTGGAGAAAGATGTGGACGAGCTTAGAGCTGAGCTGAATATTGAGCGTCCGCCGGATCTCAGAGAGATTCGGAAGATGATTCGGCAGCAGCAGAAGCGGGAAAAAGAGAGACAGCAGGCTTCGAACTGAGCTGGATTGCGTCCTGTCGAAGCGATGGATCTCAAATATAGGGAGAGATGTATGATAATTGGAACGTTGTAAACCATATCACCGGTGCGCATATGCGAGGCTGATTGCCCTAATTCAACCCAGCTGCAAATAGTGTAAAAAACAAAAGAAGACGGGCCATAACGCCTGAAGTAGATTTTCCCAGTGGCCCACGAGCGGATAGCAACAGAGGTATCCAAATGCAATAAACAAAAGGGCCATAGGCACAAGTGATCATAGATCACATTGTATGCGACCCTTACAGGTCCAAGAGATCATCATCGTCATCCCACCCACCTTTGCGGCGAGTGAACACGATTTTGTGCTCCTCCTCCTCTTTGCGCTGGTTCTCCGCAACAGCCCCCAACAGCTCCTTGAGCTGTTGCTCGGTTACCTTTGACCGTAACTGTCCAGACTGTGCGAGCATGATGAGGCGGTTCTCGATATCTGTTGCCCGCGATTCCTTAACGAGGCGGATACGGCCCAGGCGATCGGCAGCCTCGGGATCGAGGATTTGGGACAGGATTGAAGCGCGTTGCTCTGCTAGGATAAATCAAAGATGGATTAGAATTGCGGCAATAGAAGGACGCTGCTTGTAGTTCATCGAATGCGAATGGACTAAAACGGTTGGATCTTGGGACCTACCCTCTGCTTGTCTGGTTGGGTTCATTAGCATACAGCATATTGTTGCAATTTATTCTAGCACTTACTTCCTCTGCTGTGCCTGCTCGCCACCATCCTGACCGGCTGGACCTCCACGTGATCCTTGTTGCTGGAGTTGCGCGAGACGAGCTCGTCGGATCTAGTTCCTCTCTCAGTATATTGTATCAGAGTGAAAGACCTCTGATGGTGTGAGACTGACCTCTTCTAGTTCTGCGTCTGCCATGGTGGATATGTCAAAGGTTGGATCAAATGTTGAAGAGTCGAGGATTGATTCGGTGAACCCCACTTGGCTCGCCTGAGTACGGAGGGGTGCAACGACCTTCCATTCCGGGGTAGTTTTGGACAATATACGGAATTGAGGTATAGTAGTTATTGCTAGTTATTGCTAGTAGAAGAATTGAAGAATCTAATATAATAATTTAATTGTTGTTATATATATATTCAACTGCACTCTAAATCTCTCATATCAAGTTGCCATCTACAACATACAGAGATCAAGAATATAAACTTGGAGCTCCAAAATTTTAATAATATCAGATAGAAATAGCCTGGAGGCCATAGATAGTGAATAAGCCTGTTTAGCATATCTAGGTATTCCCTCGGTCTATGTTAAGTGCTACATGTATGATTCCCTCGGACTTAAAGTCTCACAGCCGTACCCGTGGGGGATTTACACGTGGAATTTTAGTATAATTGGAATTCTGAATATGTAGTTTAATTGGCTCTGGGCTAATGTATACAATGTTGTATTCACATATGTGATAAGACTGTGACATGTACATTGTAAACGCCTATCACATACGGGGTACACTAAAAGCCCACTATCTTTACTGCGCCTTGAGGGGCAAATCTCAGAAAGTAAATTACTCCGTATCGACTTCAGGTTTAGCTCCAAATTAATATTCCCCGGTTATCAGAAGGGGGTCTCCGGTCCGTGTCCGGTGGCAATGCTGAATTCTCCCCTCACATTGGCCTTTTTCCCTTATATCCCCCTAATCTCTTTAAAGTCTTCAGCATCTTAGTTCATAGCGCAGCCGATCTTTCAACCGGGTTCACTTTCATATCCGGGTGACTAAGCTTTGATTCGCCCTCGCGTTGCAACCCCAACTTCCGACCTCAACAGGCTGATATTTCCGATCAGATCTGTTTGTGGCAATTCAATCCTTTTCTTGACCTTCAGCGCATTCATTTCTGTCGTGTCGTTGGCCATCCGTCTTTCCGCTCACTCCCAAATCCGGATTCGGCCATCTTTCAGCTTATTGCGTACCCGTGGACCAACTCGACCGCATATTCTAACACTTGTCTCCTGGATGTGAATGGCGTGAATAGCAAACTTGTCTACCGGAGTTTATCTGGACGTGATTTTGATCTGGCGACGAGCGAACCATCTTTTGCCTTACATTCCAAACGCCTTCTACGTCACTCACCATGGCCGAGTAAGTTATCCATCAAGATCCTTACTGGGGAATTTAATCAATTATTGACACTTTAGGTGGGGCAGTTTAATTGCCTTTCAAACCTCTCATCATAGTTTCTTCTCTCCATCCAACATGATCCCGCGCCATAAGAGGTCGCTCTCCTCCGAGCACCCGTCGTTGTCCTCTGATCGAACCGTCATTAAAGCGAAGTCCACCACCAATCTCTCCGAAGTCGCTTCTTCCAATACTTCCCATGGAAAACACAATGCTGGATTTGATGAAAGCAGTTTCAGCACCTTGCAGGACCCGCGATTGATGGTCGGATCGGAGGTCTCACATTCGACGTCATCGTCTCAGCACCCCGATCTGAGCAACGAAGTAGCAGCATTGTCTGTGAAACTGATCCAGGCCATTAACAACCAAACGAATCTCGATGATAACCTGGTTGCTACCCGACAAGAGCTTGAGCTAGCCCAGGGGAAGATTCAAGCTCTAGAGTTTCAGAATGAAAAGTATCGGAGAGATATTGATAACAAAGTCTATATCAAAAAGGTCGACTCTGATCGCGAAATTTCGCAATTACGGGATACGTTAGCGGAAGAAACGACCCAGCGTCTCGCCGCTGAGAAAGGCAGGAAGACTATTGAACAGGAAGTGGAAACTCTTACCGCGGCTCTTTTTGAAGAAGCCAACAAGGTCGGTAATATCCTGCTGCATACGCATCTGAAAACTAAATTCTAACGCTATTTTTAGATGGTGGCTGCAGCTAAGATTGAACGTGAGGCGGTGGAGAAGAAGAATGAGCAGTTGCGTTCACAAGTCAAAGACACCGAGTTGCTCCTGGCATCACACCAAGACCAGCTTGCCGAGCTCAAGTCTGTCATGCAAGCGATGAATATTTCCAAAGATGACCTGGAAGGTCGTCCCACTCCCGCTCCGTCATCCCCAGATGGGCAGTCACAAGCGCAAGGTTCTAGTAACCAAGAGCCCGAGCTTGACCCTGTTCCTATATTGATTGGCAACACCGAGGAATTCACCCCAGGCCCTTCCACCAGCTTCCCGCAGTTCATCCGCATGGTATGCCGGACAGATTTGCAGGCTTATGAGGATTTCCGCGATTTACTGGTACTTTCTCGGAGCTCCAAACCTCCTAGCCGTGCTGCTAGTGGATCTTATGGAGGCCTGAACGTGATGGGTCTGGCAAGCTTTGCTAGCGGAGGATCTCCCTCGGCAACCTCATCACCCACCAAAGGGTTTACACATTCCCCCAATGGGAGCACGTCTTCCACAACGGGATCGCATTTTGCCTTGAAAGAAACTCGTTTCTACAAGCGGGTGCTTATGGAGGATATTGAACCTACATTGAGACTAGACCTAGCGCCGGGGATCTCATGGCTGACCCGGCGTACCGTTCTAAGTGGTATCTGCGAAGGTAGTCTTGTCGTGGAGCCAATGCCCCCATCATCCAAGAAATTTGAATTCCCCTGCTCTGTCTGTGGTGAACGCAGACCCGGCACTCCCAACGAGAGAACCCATCGATTCCGAACGTCAGATAGTGAGACCGCTCAACGGTACTCACTTTGTCTTCTCTGCTTAGAAAGAGTGCGCTCGTGTTGCGAGTTCACTGGTTACCTGCGTCTCATCCTTGACGGACATCTTCGGGCTGGCGATACCGAAGAAGAAAAAGAAATATGGGACGAGACTGTCCGACTCAGAGAGAGGATGTTCTGGTCCCGTATCGGAGGAGGCATCATTCCCTTGTGTAATCGCCCAAGCGAACCAGAGGCGGAACTGGCCAGTACAGAGTTCAATACTGGTGCCGACGACGACGACGACCGGTATCTCCATCCTGTGGACGTTACTTACCTCGAGCCCAGGACAGAGAAAGTATCCCCGAAAGATCAACTCGCACCGGAAACACCAGTCACAGAATCCGCTACTGAGCACATAACCCACCCTGATCTTCCTCGACCTCAAAGTTCTATCTATGACAGGGACGATGCTGTTTCCTTCAGTGGCTCGGAACGCAAGCGCTTTTCTATCGATTCAGCAGCAAGCGTGTATGAAGAAGCTAACGCTGATGTGGATGCCAATCCCACGCCACGAGCCCTCAATTGCTCCTAGTCGAGACACAGACACAGATATCGCCAGACCCAATGGTTTGAGCACTTGAACTCGGTTGATCAGCGATCAACGCGAGTGAAATGACTACACGGTTTACCCAGCATTTTATGATCCGCCTAATGTCTTCCCCCATCCTTTGGCATTGCATTCTTCAGTCACTTAATTCTCTTCATTTCCTTCAGCGTTGATACAGACCTGCCCTTTGGAAATCCTGCTTATACTTCTGCTTCTACCTCTACCTTTAATCACCCATTGGATTACACCTCGATGATGTCCTTCATTGGTTCTGGCTTCTGGGGTATCCCTCTCTTCACATTCAGCCACATGGCCCCTTGTATTATTATCAACCTTGTCGCTTTTGATTATGCATACATAATAATGTGTTTTGTTCTTTCCTTGTCCCTTTCTTTTCCCCGCGGACATTTGGACCACGTGGTGGCATCATGGATCTTCACTGTTTCTGTTCTTTATTTTCCTTTTTTGTTCGTTCCCATTTTTGACTCGCGGCAATGCTAGTCCCGGGCCCTATCGGTGGTGGGAGTATCGTGATAAATGATAGATGAATTTGAATCAAATTGCATACATAGATGATATACGCACTTGGAATAATATACCATAGAAGATGCGAGAAACACATGCCAGTCACTAATGTCCAAAGAATCAGCACTACTTTGTACGGAATCTAACCCTAGAGACAGATTCAAGTTAGATGATAGCATGAAAAGAAGCATGAACCAGATAAGATGTTTCGTGAGGTTAGAGTAAAAGAGGGCTATTGTACACAAACAGAAAAAAAGAAGCTCATCCAGATTTCATTCCTCCCAAACTCCACAAATGGCAGAAAAGATATGATTTTCGAAATTGAAAAACCCCACAAAACCTCTTTTTAACGAGAACATCCCGTCTGAACTTCATGTCGCCGGGGGGATATCACTTCTTGGCAAGTTGGTGAATATGTCTGAGCTGGTCTTCGATATTCATACTCTGGGGGTTCTGCGCGCCAGCCGGGCTAGCGTTGGGGTTTTGTGGGCCAGCCGAGCCATCGAGGCCCATAGCCGTTCGCTTGCGGCGAGCTTCCTCCTCCGGGTCGACGGGGGCAGGATCGAAGACGTCGCTGCGCTGACTTGCAAGACGCTTGAGGTTGTTGACCACGTCGACGGTGGACAGGTTGGTAGTCGCACTGCGGGCTTCGGCCTTGGCACGCTGCTCTTTCCAGCGCGGGTCGAGCAGCTCAATACGGATGTGTTCGTCCAGCTCGGGGAAGGGCACTTTCTGGTTGCAGTAAGGGCAAATCGCCATCTGGGCTTGTTGACGGCGCGCCTGGGCTCGGGGCACGTAGTCTGAGCGGATGCGCATTGGCTGCTGGCCTGGGATGGCTGCTGCCTGGGCCGCGGCGGCTTGGTCGCGCGCTTGGGTCCGCTCGCGGATGCGCTGCTCCTCTTCCGCGTTGGGATACTGGCCTGTTGGGGGGTAGGGGCCTGCTGGGTAGGGTGAGACCGAGGGTTGGGGTGGGTGCATGGGTGCGGGTTGGACTGGGTAGGCGTTATAGTAAACGGGTTCATCGAGGCCGGTGGGCATCGCTTCCTCGATGCGCCGTGTGTTGAGGGAGAGTGCTGCTCTTTGCTCGAGGGAGGCGGACTGCAGGTCATTGGCGGAGGTTGGCGGTGGCAAGTCCGCGTGGTCATCGTGTTCGGTGAACTCGACAGTTTCAACCACGACGAAGTCATGCCAGTCGATCTGGGCGTACTCAATCCGCTCCTGTTCACTTTGCTCTTCCTTCTCTTGCTTCTGTTGCCGTTGGTATTTCACCCATTCTGCGCGCTGCTTAGCACGCTCCATCACGTTGAATTTATTCTTTGCATTTTGTTCCAGTTCTGCGATTCTTTTTGTGGCTGAAGTCGCCTCATCAATTCCCTCGGCACGAAGCAAAATAGTGTATTGGTCGATCAATCGAGTAAAGAATTGGTAGAGACTATGTTGTGGTCGTAAGAAGTCGAATTGGAAATTTCTGGCCTCGCGTTGCGACAGCGCAGTCATGAATGACTTTCCCCGCTTCGCGACAAATAACGCTGTGAGTTTCACCACGTCCAAATCTTGTGCATTGATAATAGGCATGCGCGCCGAGAAGTGGAACGCGGAGGGTTCAGGTGGCCCCTTGGGCTTTTCAGGTTCCACGGCGGCGACAGACTCGCCAGCTCGCCCTGCTAATCCTGCTACTCGGCCTGCTTTGTACTCGGCTGTATACCATTGGTAGTATGGCTCATAGGCATCTCCAGGTGTCAGGAAGGAGAATTTGTAGTTGTTCTTTTCCTTCTGGCGGATACGGTCTTCAAAAGTCCCTTTATGGCGAACGACGTAGCTTGCGGTGGTCTCGACTGCTTTTCGAATATCCTTGGGAGGAAGAACCATGCCCTCTGGAGGCTTTAAAGTCCCCTCGGACCCCTCTGGGCGAGGCGTGGTTCCATTTGACGGCTCCATTGTGAATGGTGAGGATATGAAGAGATGGGGGTGTTAGTACCACAGCCCTGGAGACGATGGATCTAAGACTTGCTGACTAGCTTCACTAGCCACTACGCTCACCGCCACAGTGGCATTATAGTGGCGCATTACAAGCGGTGTATCCTGTCATGTCTCTTTGCATTTTGTCCTTCTCCACTGAAATGCAGGAGAATAGGGAATGTTCATTTTAATTTTTTTTTTTTTCATATAGTCAATCATAAAATAGAACCATTTTTTCTTTCTTATATCTATCAAAAAATATAGCATTTCAACTTTAAATCTCACTAGTAAAGACGGTTACAATACTGGGGGGAAAATAAAAAACTAAGGGGCCGCTCACATGTTGTCCACAGCCGCCGTTGATCTGGCCTCAAGGCGGACCTGCACGCTTTCGTCCATCTGTGTTCACTTCTGTTCTTGTTTTTCAACGTCCTTTTTTTCCTTTCTTACTCTCTCTTCAGCAGCCTTTTTTTTCTCTTTAATTTCTTATTTCCCTGTCATGGGGCCTTTTCCCTCATTGTTACACGATCATTAATTGGTGTGGTGCCTGAAGCCATTGAACGGTTGACAGCTCGAGGTTGAAAGCAGCTTTCGACAGCTTCCACTCGTCCATTGAACCTTGGGAAGCCTCTCGTTAACGATTTAAACTATAAGTAAACTACACGCAACTCTCCTATCATTTTACCTCGACATTCCGACTCCTGCGCCGTTCTCCTGAACCGCTGACGTCGTTCATACCTGTATCGACACAATATGGGTCAGAAAGCGAAAGACACACTGGCCGTACGGCCGCAGAGCCGGGGTAGGCGCTCGCCCAGTCGGTCACCCAAACCCAAGAGCCGCAAGCCTTTGGCGGTGCCTCAAACGTACGCCTCGGATGGAGTGAAGAACAATGATATCTTCAAACTCCCCAGCTCGGACTATAAGCTCATTGTGCTGGTGACCCTGATTGCCGCGGCTGTTCGCCTATTCAGAATCTATCAGCCCACCAGTGTTGTATTCGATGAAGTCCAGTACGTTCCCGACCAACCTTGTGTTATAAGTCGAAACAAAAGCAAACAGAGACTAATGATTTGCGCTTGAATAGCTTCGGTGGATTCGCTTCCAAATACATCAAGGGAAAGTTCTTCATGGATGTGCACCCCCCGCTAGCTAAACTGCTGCTTACGCTGGCTGGCTGGCTGGCTGGTTTTGACGGAAACTTCGACTTCAAGGATATTGGCAAGGATTATTTGGAGCCCGGTGTGCCCTATGTGGCAATGCGCATGCTTCCAGCTATCCTGGGTGTTTTGACTGTCCCATTGATGTTCCTCACCCTCAAAGTTACCGGGTGCCGAACTTCGACTGCACTCCTGGGTGCTGGTCTTGTTATCTTTGACAACGCTTTGGTCACTCAGTCCCGCCTGATTCTGCTCGACTCCCCGTTGATTTTCTTTACCGCTCTGACAGCTTTGGCCTTCAGCTGCTTCACCAACCAACAGGAGCTGGGACCGGCCTATGCCTTCCGAGGCCCCTGGTGGTTCTGGCTGGTGTGTACCGGTCTTTCTCTTGGCGCAACCCTGAGCGTGAAGTGGGTTGGTCTCTTCACTATGGCCTGGGTTGGATCTCTCACGGCTCTTCAGTTGTGGGTTCTGTTGGGTGATGCTAAAAACGTCACACCGGTATGTTTTTCTTGATTTAGATTAAGCCGTATTTGATGCTAACAAGAGGATTTTTGTAGCGTCTGTGGCTCAAGCATTTCTTTGCTCGGGTCTTTTGCCTCATTGTCATTCCTATGGGCTTCTACCTTGCCATGTTTGCCATTCACTTCACATGCTTGGTTAACCCCGGAGAAGGTGACGGCTTCATGTCATCGGAATTCCAGGCAACTTTGAACTCAAAGTCTATGCAAGATGTTCCCGCAGATGTCTCCTTCGGATCCCGAGTCAGCCTCCGCCATCTGAACACGCAGGGCGGCTATCTGCACTCCCACCCTCACATGTACCCAACGGGTAGCAAGCAGCAGCAAATCACGCTCTACCCCCACAAGGACGAAAACAACCTGTTCCTCCTGGAGAACTCGAGCCAGCCTCTAGGACCATATGGAGAGGTTGAGGGTCCGTTCGCCTGGGACAACTTGACTGCTCCTGGTTTCATCGAGGATGGTTCGACTATCAGACTTTACCACGCGATTACTCACCGAAGAATTCACTCGCACGACGAGCGCCCTCCGGTGACCGAGGCCGACTGGCAGTATGAGGTTTCTGCCTACGGATACGAAGGCTTCCCCGGTGACGCCAACGACTTATGGCGGGTTGAGATTGTTAAGTCCATGTCCGAGACTCCGGAATCTAAGAAGCGCCTGCGGACTATCCAGTCCAAATTCAAGCTGGTGCACGTCATGACTGGCTGTGTCCTGTTTTCCCATAAGGTCAAGCTTCCGGACTGGGGATATGAGCAGCAGGAAGTGACATGTGCAAAGGGTGGTACTCTTCCCAATAGTGTTTGGTATATCGAGTCCAACCAGCACCCTGCTATGGGTCCAGACACCGAGCGAGTCAACTACCGGAACCCTGGCTTCTTGGGCAAGTTCTGGGAATTGCAGAAGGTTATGTGGACTACCAACGCAGGCTTGGTTGAGTCCCACGCCTGGGATTCGCGTCCTCCCTCGTGGCCTACCCTGCTTCGTGGCATCAACTTCTGGGGCAAAGATAACCGCCAAATCTACCTCCTCGGAAACCCGCTCATTTGGTGGTCAAGCACTCTGGCCATTGGAATCTATTTCGTTTTCAAGGCTCTCTCTATTGTTCGCTGGCAGCGAAGCTGTGGTGACTACAAGCATGCTTCGTTCAAGCGCTTTGATTACGAGGTTGGTACCAGCGTTTTGGGCTGGTTCTTCCACTATTTCCCATTCTACCTCATGGCGCGCCAGTTGTTCTTGCATCACTATCTCCCCGCTCTTTACTTTGCCATTATGGTTCTCTGCCAAGAGCTTGATTTCCTCACAAACCGCATTAAGAGCCTCGGCCTTGCGTCGAAGCCCCTGATCGGCAAGGCTCTGATGGCAATCTTCCTGGGCCTTAGCGTTGTTGTATTCACCCTCTACGCCCCACTCGTGTATGGCAACCCATGGACTAGGGATGCCTGCAACCAGGTGAAGCTGCTCGGGTCCTGGGATTTCGACTGCAGCACCTTCCACAACGACGTAAGTATTCCGGAATGGAGACCTCCCCGACGAGGTTATTGAACGGATCGACGAGACCACGACTAACATGAACCCTGAAACGCCATTAGTTGAGCCAGTACATCACTCAATACGTGCCGAATGTGCCGCCCGTGGCTGCCCCTACAACTGCAGCTCAAGCACCACCCCCAGCGCCACCAGTCCAGGCCCAAGAGCCTGCACCTGCGCCTGCAGATGAAGCTGTCCAAGCCTCAGAGCCAGCGGCCGTCACCGAGCCCAAGATCAAGGGCTCCATGGCCCGTGTGGAGTACCGCGACCAGAACGGCAAAGTTCTTGACGAGAAGCTGGTAGCCTCGCTCCGAGCAGAAGGTAAAGTGAAGTTTGAGACTCGCTATGAGCCTGGTCAGCCTATGGAAAATGCCCACGATGTTCCCGTCGTCGATGGCCAACTCGCGCCCCCGCACCCAGATGTGCAGGGCCAGAATCCTGAGACTGGCAGCGCGCCCGAGGACTCCGTGGCCCCTGAGAGCCCCGCATCTGTGGCTGGTGACAACGAGCGCTCTATTGAGCAGTCAAGCTCCATGGAGGCCAAGCCTGCCAGTGAGGGCAATGAGGCCACTAAATAGCGGTCGTGTGGAAGATAAAAGTGTAAGAGGAGAGCGGATTCTGCCATGTATAATGAGACTCCATAAGAGTACTTGTCCATTTCTCTATTAGCTTTTTTTTTAGTGTTGCCATAATTGACACTGATATCCGCAGTTTTTGGGCTATGTACTATCATAACGCCAAATGTAGTTGGCCACTTTTAACCCTTGTGCAACTGGCTTGTTGGGTATGGTTGTTTCTTCAGACAAATTGTTAATTCAACCTTGTAACCAAGCCGGCAGGATACGGATGTAACGCAAGAAAGAGACCTATTCCCAATTGACTCTTTATCTGAATACGGATACTATGCACAAATCTCTTGCTATCCAAATGGCAAGTTCACGCTGCCCTCTCCTCTCCCCGGTCTTAGTGTACAGCAGCCGGCCGCAAGAAACGGCGGTTCGCTTCATTCAACTTCTTAAGGCACTTCTTATGGCTAATCGATAGCCATCTAGTAGTCCCACTCCTCCTTGCCGTACTTGTTGAATCTCTCGTGGAGGTCCTGTTAAAAAGAAGCTAATGTCAGCATTCCCCTTCAAAACAGTCAATGCGATCACACATGGCACGCCGAACTAAATTCTGAAGCGATCCCATGTGTGGCATTTATATTCAAAAAGGTCCAGGGAATTCATACCTCGGGCAGGGTGACATTGGGAACAATGACGGTGTTCATGGCGCTAGGAGCAGCGCGGAGGGGCTGGCTCTTGTCGCCGTGAGGGTGGTACTGGTACTTGTAGACCTTGCCATCCTCGGACTGGCCCTGCCAGGGCATAGCGCTCTCACCAATGCGAACGTTGCTCTCAGAGTTCACGGAGGTGGGCTTGCGGCCGAAGTACCTATATTCTCGCGAATACCGAATTGATTAGCGACCGTGGTCCTTGCTTTCTATTGTATGTGTATGCGCCATTGAGAGTGCTAGGTAGATCGAGTAAAATCCCGAACAAGTGCTGATACGTCACAATGGCGCAAATGGGGCGAAATTGGGCATGAGGCATTGTAGGGCAATTTCGGGAGGGATGCTCACCATCCGGCAATCAGGAAAGCACCAGACATGACACCGAGAAGGACCTAGAAGCACAGGAATTAGAACGAAAGCTCTGGCGTACTTCAATGGCTTTGTGGGATCCGTACGTAGAGCTCGGGATCACGCTTGGGGGCCTTGTCGAGGCTGGCCTCCTCGACCTTGGAGGAGCCGAAACGGCGCGGGGGGCGCGGAGGAGCGACTGGCGGGTCAGAGCCCGGCGAGTAGCCAGAGCAGCAATTGAAGACATGGTTGCAGCAATTCGGGCGTGCGTTGGAAGCAGAATTCGTGGGTGGAGAACTGTAGACGGGGTAGTGGGAGAGAATCATGAACATCGAATGATGTTGCCGGCATATCAGGTGACGCTGACTCATCACCGGTTCAAGCAATCTGGGTCCAAACTTTCGAGCTTCCTGTTGGTTGATATTCTGTGGTTCGAATTATTCGATTTGCTGACGCATATACGATCATCCCGGTGTTGATTTCTGTGATGTAATTGGTCTTTACGATTTGTTTGGCCTCTCGATCGCTGTTCATGCTAGAGGTATGTTGTTCCGGTTTTCTCCATCAGGGGCTCTGCATCTTGGCCCGGGCTTTGCGGCGCGTTTGCCAGTGGAACTCTGCATTAGGATTTGAGACTAATGGGACTATAGGACCTTGATTGATCCGTTTATTTACTTTCATTTATTAGACCTTGTCTCGACTCCATCGTCACTCCTTTTTCTGCTCCGCTCGCTGCTCACCGTATCCCTCGATATAAGCTACCTACGTTACACCGCGATTCGCTTCCATCCCTTCGCTATTGCCAATTAGGAACGCAATATGATAGCGCGCATTTCTGTCTAGCCAATTGTTAATACCCACATTCTTCCACAGCCATGGAAAATTCCGCAGATCGTCCGGACACCGGCGACACAAACCAAGGCTCGACACCGCACCATGTGCTAGGGATTCCTCGCCCTCCCTCTGTTGGCGGAATCTCGTCCCGAGTGACAGACGATGATGGAGAGCGAGCACCATCTTACACATCACCTCACCCTCCTCCCCAGTCGCGGCACTCTGTTTCCAGGCGTGGCCCACCTCCAACGCGGAACTCGATCAATGCGCCTAGCCAGGTGACCAGCAGACCTAGTAGCTCGGGTAGTCGACTGAGCAGAACACATATCCCGTCCCTGACGGCACAGGCGTTTTTTCGGCCCATGAGCTCGCAACGATTGCAGGCACACCGAGGTACACGCCCTGTGACTAAAGGGACGGTTTCATCCACCGACGATTGGACAGATCATGGAAACCAGAACCGGACGAGCTTGATCTCTAATAGCACAGTCCCGCAAGGATCTGTGCCTCCGGCTGATATGGAAGCCCCTCCGTCTCGAGGAACGGAGTTCACAGATCCTATCTTTCCAGACCGCAACACCTCCAACGCTAGCCCCACCGGTAACACAACCATCCGGAGTCTGGGTGAAAGCGTCCGACTTCTGCGGGACCGAGATCAAAAGGAGAAGCCCCCGCGTCTCAACCTGGGCGCCAACTATACAGGGCATGCCGTGCAGGATGCACCGCAAAAATCGCCCCTATCATTTCTATCATTGCAAAATAGGGGTGCAGGACACGGCCACGATTCTCGGACCCATCAAGGCCACGAACATCTCTCCTCCGCTGGTTCCTCACCGGGTCCCCTCGACGTGAAAAAGCCCCCTCTACCAAAATCGAATCTAGGCAAGAATTACGAGTACTTTCTCGGTAACACACTCTTCTGCGGCGGAGGGCGGTTCCAAAACTCGAGAGACAAACCTGTCAATATTGCAACAGGGCTTTTACTCGTCGTACCCTCGGCGTTGTTCTTTGCCTTCTCGTATGTGAACCCACTTGATATGACCATCGGGCCAATGGCTGACTTCTGAAATTAGGGCTCCCTGGCTGTGGCATAATATTTCTCCTGCCATTCCCATAGTGTTTGCTTACATTTTCTACGTGTGTTTCTCGTCATTTGTGCATGCGTCCGTTGTCGACCCTGGAGTAAGTGACTCGGTTTTGATTGAGTTTCGTGGTCGCTAACATGATCCTCCTAGGTTATGCCTCGGAATGTACATCCTATGCCTCAACCAGAGTCTTCGGACGACCCTCTGGCGCTTGGTCCACCCACGAATGACTGGGTTATGGTCAAGCTTGCTACGTCGGATGTAGCTGCCATGGACGTGCCTGTGAAATATTGCAAGACATGTAATATTTGGCGGCCTCCTCGCTGCTACCACTGCCGTGTCTGCAACAACTGCGTTGAAACCCTCGACCATCACTGCGTGTGGCTCAACAATTGTGTTGGTCGCCGAAACTATCGCTATTTCTTTACTTTCGTCAGCTCTTGCACTCTCTTGTCTCTCTTTTTGATCGGTGCTAGTCTGGCACATATCTTGGTCTATATGTCTCAGGAAAGCATATCATTCGGTGCTGCAATTTCCAAATGGAGAGTGCCCTGGGCCATGGTGATATATGGCCTGGTTGCATTGCCATACCCTACATCGCTTTGGGCGTACCATCTCTTCCTAGTTGGTCGTGGCGAGACCACCAGAGAATATCTCAACTCGCACAAATTTGCCAAGACTGACCGACATCGACCGTTCACCCAAGGAAATATCTTTAAGAATTGGATTGCTGTTCTTGGGCGTCCTCGGCCCCCTACTTATATGCAATTCAAGCGGCGATATGAAGACGGCGATCAACGCTTGCACTCACAAAAGCGCAAGCATCGCGTTCCAGATGTCGAGTCCCAAGGCATTGAGATGCAACATGTTGGTCCTCAACAGGGTTAAAAACAAAAAGTCATTTTTTGCCTGTCGGCCTTGTTTCGGCGGCTACGACCTGTGAAGATGATATTTATGATTTCCTGTTTTTTCTTCTTCTTCCCACCTATTCCTGTTCTTACTGGGACCCTTCACACCCGTGGACACATCTATCACTTTCTAATCATCACATTACACATACCCTTCTTGTCGTCATCTCTCTCTGTTTGATTTGCAACACCTAGCGCAGGCATAATTTTGTCTTTCTACTGATCTGTCATGATCTATTTCTTATCCTGTTATATCCTGTTACTTGTGACTACATACCTGGGAATGGGCAACCCCATCCAGAACCAGCCTTTTCTTTTCATATCCTATTGGGGACTATATATTCACCTTTGCTTGGGCATTTGATCTCATCCTGTGTATATCACAGCTAGAATAATCCATATATCGACATCCTAGACGTAGAATCTCTCATGTTCATGTGGGGGCGAGAGTGAGGGATTTTGGCATTCCACCAGGGCACGAGTTCTCACATTGTAAGCCCCAGTATATGCTTCCTTTCTCCTTCTCCCTTGCTTTTTCATTCTTTTTATTGCATTGTTACTCTTTTCTGTCGGGAAATTTTACGATTGGAGTGTTCGAAAGTGTTGTTGCACGCGTCAGACCCTCGCCCTAAATTGATAAGAAGCGCGCGGGAAGCTGATCCTCTTCGATCCGGCACCTTCCCCTGATATTTCCCCATCCCAGCCCGACCACACGCGCCAGTTGCTCTACATCGATAGAGAAAGGGCGGTTCCACGTGGAATTGTCCTTCTTGTTATCTTATTCTCTCGAAAATGGCGCCACGAACGTCCCGATCAATCGCGTCCGCGGCTCCCGAAGCCCAGGCTCACGAGCCTACCGATGACAATATGAGCCTCGACGTGCCAGAACAACTCTTGACGCCTGAAAACAGCCGCTCAGAGACCTCAAGCAACAACGAGAACGCGCTGGCCGACGAAAAACCCGCAGGACGGCGAAGATCAACACGGGTTGCACGCGCATCGTTGCGGCCAGGTGAGCCACTAGACGACACACCTGAGAACAACAAACCCGCGGCCTCATCAAGCGAAGCCTACGTTGACAGCCTCGCCAAAGCAAAACGATCGCACTCGTCGCTACGGCACAGTATTGCCGTGATGGAATCTTCCTTGTGGAGCGGTACTCCAGTTGACAATGATACTGTAGCCGACGACACTGTGGCTCCCGATACACCGGTCTCAAAGTCTTCTCAGGACTTACAATCCGAGGATATGAATATGAATCTTCAGCAGCGGACGTTGCGAAAACGTGTGGGGAAGGCATTGGCCGAAGACGAAGGAACGGCCACGGCTGAGCCGGTCCCATCCCGAAGCTCTCCTCGCAAGTCTGTACGACGGTCAGGTCGCTTCAGCCTGATGGACAAGGCTTCAGATTTGGTCGACCGGGCCAGCAGTATATTGGGAAAGCGCACAAGAGGGCTGGGAGACAAGGATCTTGGTCGGCGTGCTAGTCTTCGACCTCGCAATCTTGCCCCTTCGAATGACGAGACGGCCCTTTCGACAGCCAATGAGCCTGCATCAAAGAAGCGTCGAGTGTCCGAGAGCGACCTGTCAAAACTTCAAGATCAGGATACTCCTGAGCCAGAGGAATCGGATGTACCTGCTTCCCCGCGACCTAGGCGCAAGATATGGTTGTCACATGGCCTTTATACAGGACAGGAACCCTCGGACTCGCCTCCTAAGCAGCGTCGGAGTAAGAATTCGAAGAAAACCGGAACCGGTCCCATGCACCGCACCATCCTTCCCATGCCGATGTTCAAGGGTGCTCGCCTTTTGAAGACTGGACGGGATTACCAGCTGCCATTTGATATCTTCTCGCCACTACCACCTGGTCAGCCTAAGCCCGACGAGTGGCGCAAGACTAACAAGAGTGAGTGGAATGTCGAATATCTCACATCATGAAGTGAGGGGCTAACAGACAGTCTAGATGTTTTTGTTGGTGATGCTGGAAGTTTTTGGAAAGCGAACAAAAACCTCGAGCTGTCTACTTGTATGTGTACTGAAGACACTGGCTGTGATGATAACTGCCAGAACCGCTATATGTTCTACGAGTGTGACAACGGTAACTGCAGGCTGGGTCCGGAGTGCGGTAACCGAAATTTCGAGGGCCTCAAGCACCGGACCAAGGCTGGAGGCAAGTATAACATTGGAGTCGAAGTCATCAAGACAGCAGATCGCGGGTATGGCGTCCGCAGCAATCGCTCCTTCGAGCCCAACCAGATTATTGTGGAGTACACTGGCGAGATCCTCACCCAGCTTGAGTGCGAGAAGAGGATGAGAACGGTATACAAAAACAATGATGTATGTGCCCTTTATCACTCCTGGTGCTTTACTTTTCATTGACTCCATCAACCAGTGCTACTATCTCATGTATTTTGATCAGAATATGATCATTGATGCTACTCGTGGGTCTATTGCTCGCTTTGTTAACCATGCCTGCGAGCCAAACTGTCGTATGGAGAAATGGACGGTTGCTGGCAAGCCACGCATGGCACTCTTCGCTGGAGATCGAGGAGTCTCGACAGGGGAGGAATTGAGCTATGACTACAATTTTGAGTGAGATTTATCCATATCAAGCCGCTAGACCATGTGCTAATACTAGACCAGTCCTTACTCTAACAAGAATGTTCAACAATGCCGCTGCGGATCAGCAAACTGTCGAGGCTTCCTTGGTCCACGGCTGAAGGAGAAGCAGCAACGTGCCAAAGAACTCGAGAAACGAAAGTCCGAGGGAAGTCCAAAGAAGGGAACTGCAAAAAAAGTCATCGGCAAAAAGCGAAAGGTCTCAGAAGAACCTGAAAGTGACGACTCTCGCCAAGGTAAAAAGCGCAAGATGACCAAGTCCAAGGTTATTAAGGCCAGCGTGAAGAAGGCCATAGCTACCGTTCGTGGGAAGAAGACAACGGCAAAAGGCAAAACCACAACTGCTGCCAAGTCGAAGACCAACGTCAAACTACCAACCGTTAAAACCACAGGCCGGATTAAGGCCACTGTCCGTGCTCCCCGATCTAACAAGGTAGCCAAGGAAACCCCGGCTTCTCCCAAGAAGACAACATCCCAGCTCAAGCGGCCTTCTGCCGAGACCAAGAAGCAAATTCTCGCTGCTGCCTCCAAAGGCTCCGGGGCTTATCCCCGCAAGCCTGCGAGAAAGGCCCCTTCCGAGAGTCCCGTCAAGGCCAAGAAGCCCGCTCCCAAGGCTAAAAGCACCAAAGGTGGCTTTGGCAAGGGAGTCAAAAGTGCGGCTCGGCGTGTTATGAAATCTGTCAAGGGAGCAAAGAAATGATTAACTTTCGGTCAAGCTACGGTCGTTACTTCTTTGTGAGACTTTCTGGACTTGTCTCGAAAGAACCGAACTATTTCCGCAACACGGTCATCTTTTTATTGCATCTCAGGTTTGTCAACAGCTGGGAAGTGGCTTTCCTGAATCCCTTCGGCTTATATTCTCTTTTCTGTTGACCTTGACGTTTTTGTGGCCCCTTGGTCCATTCTTCCTATTCTACTTGATAATTTTTATTCTTTCTATTTTGGCTAAAAATTCGTGTTTGGCAAATTTCCCCCTGTACGGCATCCCCCCGTTCCCCCTGAGATGGCGTTTTTCCCTCACCCCCTTTTCTTTTTTCTATTTCTGTTGCATTTTGTTTTTACTGTGGCTTCATGATTCCTTTGATTTATGCGTCATGGTTATGAAAGTGAGAGATTGCTCTGGGCTGAGTGGTGATATAGCCAAGGTAGATGCCTCTAAATTCAACATGGGTTTCCCTGGAATTCCTAGTCTGTAGGTTTGAAGTCTAGAGTACTATATCGTTGGATGGAGTTACTTGTAATTTGTCCATCTCTAACTGTAGAATTACAAGATTCGGTTCTATATATTTGAACTGATCGCCCTACTCCATAGCCCTACTCATTGGTTATAGTGCAGAAGGTACACAACTCTTGATCATCAAACCAAATCTATTGGCAACTTGAAACTATCTAAGCCAGGGGAATCCATAAAAAAAAGCAGCCCACGAATAAAAGCCAGTACATTTTTTCATGTACGGCAAAACATATAATCGAAACAAGCCTCACGTAACCTTATAGAGAATTTACTGACGCTCCAGGAAACCCTGGCTCTCCAAAATCAGAATGATCTCGTGCACAATGCTGCGCACACTCTGCTTGGAGAAGTCCACAACGAGATCAGCCTTCTCAGGGGTCTCATAGGGGTCATCGACACCAGTGAAGCCCTTGATCTCGCCACGACGAGCAGCAGCGTAGATGCCGCGCTTGTCGGACGACTCGCAGTGGTCGAGGGGAGTGGCGACGTGAACCAAGAAGAAGGAACCAGCCTGGGAGACGGCGTCGCGAGCGAACTTGCGAGACTCCTCGTAGGGAGCGATGGGGGCAGCGATGACGGCGGCACCGGCGCGGGTAAGCTCGGTAGCCACGAAGGCAATGCGCTGGATGTTGGTGTGGCGGTCCTCGCGGGTGAAGCCCAGCTCGGACGAGAGCTCGTGGCGGACGGTGTCACCCAGCAACAGGGAGACGGAGCGACCACCCTGCTGGTTCAGAGTAACCTGCAAAGCACGCGCGATGGCGTCCTTGCCGGAGTTCATGTAACCAGTCAGGAAGATGGTGAAACCCTGGGTGGCGCGAGGGGGTTGGACTCGCGCAGAATCTTGACAACCTCGGGGTAAGAGAACCACTCGGGGATGTGGGCGCCGGAACGCAGACGACGGCGGAGCTCGGTACCGGAGATGTTGAGGGTCTTGACGCCAGCGGGGACCTGGTCAACGGGGCGGTACTCATCGGTATCGGGGAGGTAGGTAACCATCTGGAACTCGACAACCTCGATTCCGAGCTCGGTCTTGTACTTCTCGACAGCGTGCTGAGCATCATAAGGGCCGTAGAAATCCTCGCCCTTGGAGTTGGAACCAGGACCGGCGTGGTCACGACCGACGATGAAGTGGGTGGCACCATGATTCTTGCGGATGATGGCGTGCCAGATGGCCTCACGGGGACCACCCATACGCATGGCCAGACCGAGAAGACCCAGGACGGCCATGCCGTTGGGGTAGCGGGGAAGGAGAGCCTCATAGGCGCGGACACGGGTGAAGTGGTCAATGTCACCGGGCTTGGTGAGACCGACAACGGGGTGAATCAGGACATTGGCCTGGCGGGAACGAGCCGCGCGGACAGTCAGCTCACGGTGAGCACGGTGCATGGGGTTACGGGTCTGGAAAGCGACGACACGGGACCAGCCCAGTTTGTCGAAGTGGACGCGCAACTCTGCGGGGGTGTCTGCAAAGACTTATTAGCCAGATTCAGGAGTGGATGGGGAATTGAACATACAGCGGAGAGCCACATAGTCGTAGTGGTTCAGCTTGTTAACGGCCTCAATCTTTCCACCAATGTAGAAATCCTCGACGGAGTTGTTCAAGTACACGATAGCCGGGTGCTCTGGGTCACCGCCAAAGACGAGCTTAGCCTCTCTAGTCCTAAATTAGGGGAGACACCACGTCAGCGAGCCCCACTATAGAACCACATCGATGCATTGGGTAAGGATTCGAGGTTGACATCAAACACCCGAAATAAAGATAAAACAAGGTATCCAATACAAAATAATGATCGACAGTGCGACCCGTTCTGAACGTTCAAATTGAGGGAAAAGAGGGAGAAAAAAAAAGAACTTACTTGTCGGGGCGGTAAATGTCATCAATGGTAAGAATAGCCAAGTTACGGTCGTCACGGAAATCACGCAGGGTGATGCGAGTACCGGCTTGGAGCTTCTTCTCGTCGATCACCTGTTGGCTGGCATCGAGAGTAATGGGCATGGAGAACACATTGCCATCGGCAAGGCGGTTGTCCTCACAGACACTATGCACATTGTCAGCTGCTGCTGCTATAGGTGTTTGTCCAGAATGAGGGATTTCTCATTCCAATAGGATTATGCGTGTCACACATACCGGTCGTAGTCTGCCTGGTTCATGAAACCTGCATGAGAGATTAGTTACTGCCCCTCTATGCGTATGTCCTAAAAAGAGGAACATTTGAATCTCAAAAAAGAAACAATTGCACTTACCCTCTAGAGGAGAGAAACCTCCGTTCATAATCAACTCGAGATCACACAGCTGGCGCTCAGTGAGCACTACAGCGGGGAGAGTCTCGGCCTCAGCGGCGAGCTCGACTTGGCGGGGAGCATCGCGGGCAAGAAGGTCCTTGAGGACACCACCGTGGGGGGCGTTGGCCATAATGAATTATAAAAAGGACTAGAAAAGATAAAATCAAGAGAGAGTATGTAAAAAAGAAGAGGGAGAAAGCGTGCTTATCAAGAAATTTCCATTTGGAGGGGTGTGGAATTGCACCATCCACATCCAACAGAAGTCGTCAACAAGTGGAGACCGTAGAAGTCTTGGCTTTTCGATTTCAACGGGGTACAGGCCAGCTTTAGGAACCAGATTACGTTGTTATTATGGAGCTTTAGGGCTATTATTTCCAAGTTCTTTAAGAAAATTCCAGTTCTCTATTAGTTTCAATTTTAAGTATAAGCGTATACATCTGATATCTTTGGAACTCTCACAGAATCATGTCCTATGTTTGTACATTGGGATTTTTTTTCAGAGTTTCGGATGTTCAGGGGTAAATAGACGGATCCCTTTGATTAAGATCATCATGGAGATACGTTTGACTCTAAATAAAGATCATATAGTACATTGTAGTACGTTGTAGCACCTGGAATACTCTGGTGATGATGAATGTTTTATAGTATAACGCTATACAGGAAATCTAAAACCGTCTTAGCTTGACGCCACAACTGCAGAGGCTGAGGTCATGTGATGTATCACGTCACCTCCACGCAGAATCACGACATTGGTGTTTTTTCAATTAGGAAAAGATCGGAACCTTACCTAAGCCTCCAGATTACGTATTACAATGCCAAGGTTGACCTAACTAATGTAGAATATAGTTAACTACACCAAATATATAATTAAATTAACTCCAGGTATAAAACACTTTATATTCACCCTTTCCAACATATTTTTACTGAGCCTTCACTGTGCTATTGGGAAGCGTGATGGTCAATTTCTCAAAATCCACATCAAACGCCCCCACCTTCATAGAAGGATGAGTTGCATTTGCATAAGAATCAACCAGGTATCCTTGGATGTCCTCTTCTGAGGATAGAGCCGAGTCAAGCGAGCCGGTTTTCTGCAGAATATACAATACTGCAACCCGAGAGAACCCAACAACGCTCTTGGGAACGCCAGTGGCAGTAGAGGCCTTCGCCTCGGAAGTGGATTGAAAGCTGATCTTGGTAGCAGTGGCGCTCGTCGCGGACTCAGTTTGAGTGGGTTCCGATGTGGTACTTGACTTGCTTGGTGCCGAATCATCGTATATGATACCATTCATAGTGGCCTCGGAACGGACAGCTAGGACTGGTGTTGGGTCGGTCTTTGAGGCGGATGGGATCGAGTCAACTATCGGCTGCACAGATCGGCGGGTCTTGCTTGTGTCGTCAGTTGTAACGTCGCTGAACGCCACGAGGGCATTTTCGGTCTTGCAGGAGACGTCATTCATGCTGAAAAGAGCCATGATTGTAACCGGGTCGAGGGTGATGTCGAATTTCTTCTTGGATTCCTCGAACAGAGCTGGGAGTGCACTGCCCATGGTTGCGTTCGATCCGTTATCGATTAAGGAGGTGGTGCAGCTACCATCACCCGCAATATTGCATTGTGAGCCGGTATAACCGTTCGAACAAACGCACGAGCATTCGGCGCCGCCTGAGACACTCACGCCTCCATTTTCACAAGGGTTCTTTTCTGCACAGGGTGAGTTCGCTTTCTCGCGGGGCACGGCGACAAGGAACACAGGGAGAAGAACAGCGAGAATGACGACGATGAAGATTGCGATGCAGATGAATATGAAAATCTTTCGAGGAATTCCACAGCACATCTTCCTGCGTCGGGGAGCATTCGGGTCGTCATCATTGGAGTTAAGCTGCTCAACATTACGCAAGTTAGAGCGTCCAAAGAAAACGGGCCATGAGGCGCGGCCTTCAGGTGTCGCCAAACCCGGCGGGGGGAAGGAGGCGAGCATGTCCGATAGGGAGCCGGAGTTGCGTTTTCGGTTTCCTAAGCACACACTAGTTAGTACCATATCCGGATTCCACATGGTGATCTGGATCTGACTCACCCATTCCAGCCCTGAACTCTGCCTCACCACCAGCCAGGTCAGCTCGGCTGGCGGTTCTCCCGTGATCCAGGTTCGATGCGAGCTTTGTTGCTCTCCGAATCAAATCAGTTAGGCTGGAAAGACTCCCACGAGCCTCTGCATCCCGCAATGCATGCATGTTCAGAGCAGGAGGCTTGCGACCGCCCGGCCTTTTGTCACTCATTGTTGGTGCAGCGTGAGGCAGGTCTCCCAACGCCTCGAGCTCTTTTTCGAGCCGTGCATCGGAGGGCGAGTCATACTGCTGGATAAAGGGTGGCTTTTCGGGATCTGTGCCTTCCAGTGATTCATTCGATGCCGTAGAAGTAGACGACTTTCGTAATTGACTTGGTCGAAGGGGTATCTGGCTTGCAGCAGCTCCCATCCCCAAAGATCGTACTGCTGTGCCCTTCGCAGATTCCTCTTGGGTGGGTGATGGCATGTCTACAACGGAAACAGGGTTAGACTTGAGGATGGTACGCATTGTCGGCTTTCCTCGCTTTCCGACACTGGCATTTCGAACAAGCCTGGTATCATCCTCTTGGAAGCCCGGTGAGCGCTGGCCATCGTCTGAATCCATGTCGAGATATGCCCCCAGAATTTCAGATTCAGCAGGACCAGATCCCCAACTTGAGGGGATGGCTCGGCTGGATGCGACGGAGCATTTTGTAAAGCGAGAGTCGGCGAATTCTTCTGGGATGGGTGACACAGATGATTGACGAGCTTGGGGAGGCCGTCGTGCATTAGGCGGTGCCACAAGACCAGCAGTCCGGCTTCTAGGGTCATCCTGAGAAAGACCGGACTCGGCCGGCGGAATAGTAGACGGGAATCGGGGCACATCGGGAACAGATGGCGCCTCGGAAGCCACAGACTGTCTGAACAAATCATCTGTTGCAATCGATATTCGAGGAGTCATGTCGATTGTGCTGGTGGGACTGGCAGGGGCATCATTTATCGGCCGGCGCGACTGCACTGGCGGAGGCGGCTGCAGTTGTGAGAAGGAACGGGGAGGTCTTGGGTTCAGACCCATGTTCCTTTCTGAGACTTGGCCATACCGTTCTGAGTAAATAGACTGGATTTCACTCGGGTGAGGTGGTCTCTGAGGCGGAGGGCCACGAGGAGGACCCCGAGGAGGACCACGCGGAGGACCTTGTGGCGGACCGCGGGGAGGAAAGTATCCAGGACGTTGATTGATCGGGTGTGGTGGGAGACCCGAATCAGGAAGAGGCCATTGTGATTGTTTGGAGATATCCCCGGGGATAGGCGGCTGTCTCATCTGCTGGGTTGGCTCGGTTCGTTCTGGACGCACGCCGGCACCTAGCATCTGTCTGGCCCGCTTGACGGATCCTTTCCTGCCAGGCTCCCCAGAGGGGCCGGAGCTTGGTAATTCTGTGCTCATTGAATAGTTTGGTCGAAAGAAGGCTAAATACAATGCCGGGGATGCTCTTGTGTAGTTTGTGAGCAGTTAGGGCTTGCCGGGTATCAAGGGTGGCGTGGTGTAACTGCGGTCCAAAAGAGAGATTTATCTCTTGAGGATCGAGGAATAGAAATGAATGATTGCTTTCGATATCTTGATCGAGTTTAGAAAGAATGAAAAGATATCGAAGGATTGAAACGAGAGAAACGGCGTCTGGCCACTGAGCAAGTGTCTACAAGGTCGTAGAAATGTGGATAACGCAATGAAAACGATCTAGAAAGACAAGATCCACAGGATCTAGATCGCAAAAGAATGGAAGGGCATTCAATGCCACTGTATATAATAGTCAGGACCAGTTCCAAGTAATGAACTGCATTTAGAGAGACCTACCGTTCAAAAAGGGGAGAAAACGAGAGGAACGAAGCGCTAGTATCAAACTGGCGTTCAAGGCTAGACGGATTAGCCCCAATCTTTGACACGTCTGGGTCGACTTACATATTCAAAAGGGGAGAGCCTCAAGCTCTTTGGAAGTTGGGAAAAGGAGAGAAGAAAAGGCATAGAGCCTGACACACGCGCCAGGACACGGTTCATGGCATGGATAGTCCACACCTCAAACGGGAAGTAGATTAATACTAAAAACTTCAACCGTGGACTATTAGTCCTGTAATCTAAGACGGAATACTTTATATCCGAATACTCCGTAGTCCGGACTCCGTTCATACATTTATACATCAAATGCCTATTCTGATGAGTATAGATCTATAGAGTAGTACTCCGTACATAGTACACTGACATATGGCTTTTGAACATCATATCTTTATTAGAAAGAAGAAAGAAAAAAAAGGGAATGAAGGTCTCCTAAACATAAGACGGCTAAATTAGGCGAATCACATCTCGAGTATATCAGTGGGGTTGGAATTAGCCCCGGACGCTAACGTCTCACATTAAGACCTTTAGCAATTTGAAACTGGAGGTTCAATTAATATTCTCTAGAATGATGGTCATACGGAGTACGGAGTATATTGCATCTTATTAGAGATTGTACAGTACACATGGAAAATGTATATTTAATGGAAAAAAAAGTTCAGGGGATTTTAATCCAACTCGGCTATATTGTACGTATAAACCACCTGATTTGCACTGAAACATCTTTAAACCTACTTGGTACTAGCCATATTTTATACCCCCTTTAAAGCTTCATATCCGGAGTATTGTACCATTATGGCCCTGTTTCTCCGCGAGTCTCTATCTAAAATTAAACTAGTCTGGGCTTGACCCAGCCCCAAGCACGGTTCGTTGATCATGTGGAGGATATAGTAGGTAATTGTCTTGAGATGATCCAAGTCATTGGCAACTCCCAATTTCAAACACATCTGGTCACACAAGTCCCCTTGGAATCTCAGAAATGGAATGCTCTGTGTGACTTGTCAACGTCAACTTGACCTGCGACGGCTGACCAACTGTGCAATGTTCAGGTGGACAAGGTCACGGATGACTACAACATAATTGCACCTGCGTCGGGGGATTCAGGTTCCAGCCGAGCCCGTAATTGGCTTATCTGCTGTTCCAGGGCTCGCATTTCGACTGTTGTACTAGCCAAATCCGGCACCTGATTGTCTATCGCATTTGCGAAAGAGTCTTGTGCCCTGCGCAGCGACTGAGGGACCAATATTCCATACCAATGAATTGGATCGGTGGAACGGAACTTCTTAGAGACGGGCTTTGGTTTTTCGACAGGGGTGGTTTCGATTCCCGCAGTGTCAGAGAGTTCTGAGCTAGCCGCCTCTGCCGGGCTAGTTTCCTCGGAGGCCTCAATATGTCCATCCAGAACCGGAGAAGAGGCTTTAGTTTCATTGTTCCCATCGCCCTCCTCTGGTGAATGATTGGACATGGTTTTGACGGAGAATGTGTATTCAGAACCAGGTAGTGTAGTGATATCCTCTTTCTCTTGCAGATCGTTCGTGGATTTCTCCGTGTTTCGTGGGGATTGGATTGCGCTGTCAATTTCGGCCAGTTAACAAGCGTCAGTAATCAATGACAGCGGGTGGATTTACATCTTTCTCATTGCTTTCATACGACCATCATAATAATCAGGACCATAGCGACGGCCAGGACTGGAGAAATTGGCCTGGGCGAGAGCAAAAAACCCCTACTTTGTCTCAGCATCTTTCATGCACCATGGTCAACAAAGTCATACCGAAGACAGTTGTTCTGCCAAACTTGATTGGAGTTGCTGCTGCCGATCAAGCAGGTGCAAGTATTGCTCAAGAAGTGTATCCAAGCATTGGACCGAATCCTCCAAAGCTACCGGCTTCACCTTCACTTCAGGTGCCTCCGAGCTCGGTCGCGACGCTGGTGGCGTGGGTATTTGAGTCATGGAAAGAAAGACCCAAGGTCAATAAAGGAAATACGTATGCGAATATCTGCGAAGTCGAGATTGAATAAATCCAAATGTACAAGCTTGAGATACAAAAGAAACGTGGAGCAAAGGAGCTCGGCCCCGGTAACTCCGTCATTCGTCTCCGAACGCAAAAGAATTTCCCACTTCTGCGCTGCTTCTCTCTCTTGCACACTTCAACCTACTGTGTCTCTTCCATTGCAACTGTGCTACGAGACATAAAAAAAATCATCGATCACCGTGTAATCAAATTTCCCCGGATCTTTGCTTCTTGCAAGATTGAACCGCCACCTTCGATTGCGTCTTTGATACGAGTCATTGCGCCCAACGTACGTGAACACACATTTTAACCCATCTCGACCTTGCAATGTGAACCATAGCTCTAACCAAGCGGTTATTAGGTCGACTTTTTGCCACAGCAACGCCGTATCAACCGCGCAACCAAGGCTTCAGTGATAATCTGGGGTTGACCAAGCAGACGTTTCACATCGCGCATCTTCGACCTTTTGACTCTGACTACCGTCTGAATCCTCCCCATACTCTTATTCATATCCTCAATCATCATGTCTGTCGCCTCCCTGCATCGTGAGACTGCCTTCCAGGCACGATCCTTGGTATGTCCTCTTGGCTCTATATGCGCTTCAAATTCGTGTGTTTATCCTTCATACATCAAACTAACTGGCATATTTCTCTTTTACCTAGTTCCGCTCCCTTCTGCGTTATTCCGGGCAGTTTTCCAACTACAACTTCCGCGAATACGCTCGCCGGAAGACAAGGGATTCATTCCGCGAGCACCAAAACGCCACAGAGGAACGCCGGGTACAGGAACTGATCCAAGAGGGACTTCAAAACTTGCGCTTGTTGAAGGTCAGTGGTATTACATGGTTTTTGGGGCGAAACTCGATCGGTGGCAGATATGGGTGTCTATTTTCAACCTCGCGTATTGAAAGTCGACGAGTCCCGCCTTGCAAAACTGCCCTACACATCGGTGAATCCGACTCTAGTAATTATACTGACATAAATACAGAGACAAACGGTCATCAGCCAATTCTACCAGTTGGATAAGTTGGTGGTGGAAGGCCAGAAGACAGTAAGTCCAATCTTTTCTTAGGGCCTCCAGCACTCAAACTTACATTATTTGAAGGGAAAGGAAACCGGGAACCATGGAGGCATTGTTCGCCAGAAGGACACTGGGTAAGTTGAAGCTCCATGCCCACCTGTTTTATATGTACTAACCTGTAGTAGTTGGGATTGATTCTTGACGGTAAAATGGAAACTTGTGACTATTTCCATTGTGTTTGTTTCGATAACTTGCCAATGGTGGACTAATTAAACACCTCATGTTCTGTATTTATACACCCAGCGCTGCCACTGTAGCTATTTTTTACCAACCAGAAACACCCCATTCCACTCTTGAATTACAATATACCAATGAGTTGATTTGTATTTTCTATCAATTGAGGGATAATAGTATAAATGACTACGATACTAAGATGTTCAGTAAATATATGTATCACGTGATGTCTCTTTACAGACTTGTAGCATCGCAACGCGCGACGGAGTTGCACTACTCCGCTACCACCTACTCCACCACATTCCGCCACAGAATCCTCCCCGCGAGGTCCCCGCAAGGTCATCACAAGCTTCCTGATCGGGCGCACTTGTCTTTGAATTGGTACAGGGGCGTCTGCCAACCATGCCTTCTACGGTACGTCCTTGCCCCCGTGGTCATCTATCTTATCTGGCCCCGACACGGTTGCCCAAGACACATGGTCATTCCAGATATATTAGATCATAAAATGCCTGAATTAGCTGGCTAAAATACACCACAGTTCAGAGCCTCGCGCTCAGGGCGACACCTCGACGGTGCCCCAAACCGTACCCGCACCGGCCAAATCGATCATGATGTCTTTGAGGGATTGCCAGTGCGTCGCTGGTCCCGACAACAGCACACCTTCTCTCAAGCGCCCAAGCCTGTTGACTCGGAATTTGGCGTTCAAGGTCCAGGCGGAGGACCAACGCTACCAGAGCTCCCCATGCCAAGAGACAGCCAGCTCTTGCCGCCCATCAGTCGCGCACTCCTTCGAGCAGCCCGGGCTGGATGTATCCATATCCGGCAAGGCAGTCGGCCAGCTGATGATGAGGAGAAAAGCGTGGTAGATGCGGAAGACTCAGCCTCGGCATCTCACATGGCGGATCGGAGCTTCACAACTCGCAAATGGATGACGCTTCCCAAGCATCTCGAGCCTGCGGAGGTGGAGTTTCTGGCGAAGAGGCGACCTGGTCTTTCATCCCTTTATGGCGCCACTGCTGGTACAGATGGAAGCTCTTCTGGGCCCATGAGGAGGACGAAATTCAAGAAAGTTGATCCTGAAACAGGAAACATCTCTATCTACGAGGCGTGGGTACCTGAGGGGCATCGCATCGAAGGGGAGATTACCGGCGACTTACAGACGATTGCTGAGCAGAGCCAAGTGCCTGTGAAGCCCGAGGCGCCTGCGCCTGGAACAGTCGTCGAGGGGGTCGGCATTGTCAATGCTGAGGGTGTTGTTGTTGCAGAGGCTGGATCAGCAGCTGTAATGACACCCCCAAAGCGGCGTCCACCTCCACCTAAACGCAAGGGCAAAGGCATTGGAAAGGGCCGGAAGAAGAAGGTCATGTTTGCCCCTGGCGAAGGAGCGGATGCCGCCACAGTACATGGAGTTGGTCCTGCTACTGGCAATGGGGAGGGCGGCATCAAGAGAGAAGGCCAGCAGGATGCTTCACAGATGTCCATGGACCAGGCTGGTCAAGATGAAGACGACGAAGACGGCGACGAGGGCGACGAGAGCGACGACGGTGACGATTCCATGATGGATGCGAAGACTCCTGATACCCCCCAGCCTCTGTCTGGCACAGAGTTCGTGGACCAGCCTTCGTTCGAAACTCCTGCCTCGCAGTCAATTGATGTCGAGATGTCAGATGCCATTCCTGAAACCCAGAATCCTGCCCCCGAGGTTTCTTCATCAAGTGAAAAGGAGAACCAAAACCAGCCGATCGAGTCAGCGGCATCCCAGCCTGAAAAAACCTCAGAGGTTGATTCCGCCGCCTTAGCTTCCAATGTTCCTTCACCGGAGAAGGCTGGGATTACTGATTCCAATGAGAAGCATGTCATTTCGGAGTATGACAAGACCCCCACTTCTCCTGCTAGAACTGCCGCAACGACAAGTGAATCTACCGAGTTTTCAGTTGCAGTTGACGAAGCTCAAAGCTTGGATACCAGAGTGCAAGGGCAAGAGGAAGCCGTAAAGCCGACGGCTGACCTTGTACCAAAGAAAGAACCTGCTTTGCCAAGCCAGCAGGAAAACGCGGTTGCTCTGCCACCTGTCAGCCCCGCGAAATCCTCAGAAACCCCAGTAGCACGGCCTCCGGCCCAATTGCAGACACTTGAGTATTCAGAACCCGAGCAGCCCACAGTATCGATCGATGCCTTGGCAGAGACTCGGGAATCTCAACAGATTCCAAATGAGTCCATTTCCCATCCCGACACACAAGAGAAGCCCTCGATAGCCATTGAGCACGAACAATTAAACTCCTTCAATACTTCCGCGTCCGGTCTACTCGCAGAAGAAGCAAAAGATTTCGAGATGGGAGATGCTCCTGCACCGGAACAAAGCCAATGGCTAGATGGCCAGCCTCCCGCGAACCCAGACTTGGCTGAAGCACCACCAACCGCAGAAAATCCACAGCCCAAGCCCACTCCAGCGGTGTCCATTACAGCTACTACCGCAGACGAAAGGACAGAAGCAACAAGCAAAACAAGTGTCCCTGATCAAAGTCTCACCAGCGAAGTAGAGCTGCACGAAGAGTCTCGGTCTAGGGAAGCCAATGACGAACTTGAGCAGCACCCAGATCCGACCCCACAGGCTGGCTCGTCTGAGTCTACGTGAAGCACATGTGAGGTTTCATTTTTTCCAGGCAACTAATGTACAATGAAAGGCATTGTTTTGTCTACTGCCCTTTTTGGTGGGTTTGTTCTTTTATGTTTGTGGACAGGCGCACGGTTTTTTTAGGATGATGGATCATCGTACATCATATTGCAGGACTACATAGTTTTATTCTTCAATTGGAACCTTTTGTTCGAACTCACTCCGTCAACTCCTGCTTTCTTCTCTATTTTTCTGTGCAACGGGCATTTGCCATGGGGATTATGGGTACTACGAACTACGGCATATCTACAGATATGAGAAGTAGCAAGTATTGTTTTTCGATAAGACAAAGGTAATCAAACAGCAAAAGAAATTGGCTAGACCAAAGCAAAGCCAACTCTACAAAACGTTTCTTCGGAGAAAAGAAATTACCAGGCAAGTTGCGCGATATCCTTCGAGATCTGCCATCCATGCGCCATTGCAACTCTTCTGTAGGCTTCCACCGCCTCACCCACTGAATAGTCGATATTTGCGCGAGGTATATTCAGACGCGCAGGTCTGGGATCAGTATTGGTAATAGCCATGCGAACCTGCAACAACACACTCTCAATCGAAGCCGTCGGTAGCCAGCCCGAATGTGTAAGCAGTTCCATGCACATAGAACCGCCGGTGGTGACGTGACCGCCGCCTCCAGCAGCGAACTCGAGAAAACGAGGGCGGATGACCCGTACAAGGGGTGGATCCATGGGGAATTGCGGGGGAAAGCGGAGTTCCAAGACGATGCTTTTTTGATTAATATCTGTGAGGTCTTTTGCTAGTGGGAGGGTTGGATCAAACGTATGCAGTTCCACGATCCATTGGTAGACTGTTGTAATCAAGCTGACGTCGACGTACCATCCGAGCTCGTGGAGTGGCACTTGCTCCTGGATTTTGATGGTAGCCTGGAGATGACGCTGCAGGACCTTTGTGGCTGAGGTCGTTGCAAACAGGGGCGGAGAAAGTATAGGCAAAGAATTGCCCTGTAGGGTTCCGGGTCGGAAATCAGTCTTGAGGCCAGTTTCTGGAACAGCTCTTGCTTGCATGCTAGAACCCCGGGGACTTTCAGAAGGGGGACTTTCAGATGGGGGACTTTCAGACATTTCATCATCGGATAGAAGAATGTTGAGATCATCCATGGTCGTCTCAATGCTGGCACTGTCGTCATTGTCATGTTGTTCGATATTTTCGACTGAATACTTGCGTCTCTTGGTGCATCTTTTAGGTGACGGCACAGGGCCTGCAAGCCCGGTTTCCCTAGCAGTACGAAGAATTTCCCTTCGTTGACCGCCGAATATCGAGATGGGAATTTTGATCGGCTGTCCACTGGGGCCAAGAGCCAGATACCGCTCATCTTGCTTGTACATAAGGCTTTCATCATGTTTGTATGATGATGACTGCGGCTTTGAACTCTTGGGAATATTCCCGTACACAGATCCGCCTATTCTTCCTGCCATGCCGGGTGCATTAGAATCCTGAAGCTTGACGAAAAGATACCTTGGCTGGATCCAATCCAAGTGCTGCACGACATAGTGTGGGTTGCGGTTCACAAACTTATGGGGAGCATTGACGACCTCATTCAGAGAAATCACTGTCAAGAGCCTCAGTCGGCTCGCGGACCATTTGGGAGGAAACTGTGTCATAGTGTATCCCAATGAGGTATAGAAGCTGTTCGACATGTAAACCCCATCACCAGAGGCACGGCCATGGGCAATGTGCTTGAAGTGAAACCCCTCACGTAGGATACTGTGCCAATTATTCACAGAGCTGCCATGCCAAGCGAATATAGTTGGGTGATGGGGATTCTCGGCCAAGGAATTGGAATTAACGGCGTTGATAAAGCGCTGCTCTTTATCCGCAGCGCCTTGAACAAGTCTGAATTGGACGTAATCGCTCATTCCAACTACCTGGTGCCGAGGCTCATCGTCATCTTGCTTGATGAAAGATCGGTTTGAGGCGACAACCCAGCGTAAAAGGTCCAATCCAGCGGGAGATATGACGTCTTTCCATGATGAAAGAGGCTTGGCCCTTTCGTGGCTACCGATGAAGGCCTTCATTTCGTTGATACCAGGAAGCATGCCCAACAGACAAGAAATCATCTGCTGCTTTTGTATGGGCGTCAAATCGTCCAGATTGGTGTCATAAACAAAAAAGTGCACTTCCTGGGGCGGAGCCCGCAGGTCCTGTGGCTGCAGTTGATGGCCTTGCCTAATTGGATGTGAGATGAGAATATGATTCGAGGTCTCACCGACGTGTTCAACACGACAATGCCATTCCTCTGTCACTGCGACCGTGACAATGACGACAATCCAATCACCAACTTTGACCGGAGTTGGCTTTTCCAACCGAATTTCAAGATTGGTTGTATTCAATCGCCCAATATGATATGCAGTACAATCTGCATCTGTTTGAGGGAACAATTTCGCAGGCACGCGCAGCCTAAGACCAGTCGGGAAGTCTTCGAGCAGCCAAGCTGAAGCCCTTGCGTATGCCAGGCTGGTCAGCAAGTCAACGACAAATGGTTGGTAGCGGATCTCATGCTCAAGGCTTGGGCCCAGGCCCAGCGCCATGTATTGATACAGGCACAACGTGTTGGAGCAGACATATGGCTTCAGTGCTTCGAAGCTATCACCAGTCTTGCAGTGACAAACCAGGCAGAACTCTGTGCATTTGATAAAATGTCGCAGGGTAAATTGCATAGCAAGAAGAGGCAAAGACAAATTAGAGATATTGCGATCCAGTTCAGTCATATGATCAGCCGCAAGGATCTCTGGCGTCGAAGTGGCCCAGCTGTCCGACTGATGGTACTCCTCGGAAGAGATCTCGGATCTGGCATAAATCCTGCCTTGGTTGGTCTGGAAGAAAAGTTCCGCCTCTGTCCATGAAAACTCATGTTTTAGTCGAAGATTGATGATCCCAAGCAGGCGCTCTCCGAGAAGTAAATTGAGCGATCTACCAATGAACAGCGGCCTGAGAAGATGACCACACATTGTTTTGTCCGAAGTTGCACTCTTATCTTTCATCTGTTCATCCTGTGAGTCATTTATGACATCCATGGCGTGCTCAAATGATGGCTTGTATGAATTACAGAGGCCAACGTGCATCTGAACCTGTGTGTTCTTCGGATCACCTGCTGTGTCGATAATTGCTTGGAGGTCAAGGTAGGTTGGTCGATAACGGATCAGCAAAACAAGATACTCTGAGGGTACAACGCTCCAGGCATTCATAGCTTCCTCGGAAATTCCAAGCTTAGAAATGCGGCAAGAGACTGATACAATGATGGTGCCATGTGTTGACCCTAGGTATCCCACTTTAAATCCCGCGTTTTTGACCACACGAAGGTCACGGCGAATCGTCCCTCGTAGCTCGCTTTCACTTTGAGTGGATGTGATTATTTTGCTATCATCATCAGACTCCCAGTTGGGATCAGTGTCACTGGCAGCCGACTCATCGTCGTTGAAGTCGTGAGTGCCTGGGTTCTCTAGGTGACTGAATGCCGAACCAGGATTCATAGAGTTGGTGATAATGTTCTCAATGTTGCTCAACAATTCATGGATGGTCAAGCCTGTGAAAAGTGGCACGGCGTTCTCCAGGGAGGAGATGATTGTCTTAGGACAGTTCTCAGACGACGAGAAGGCCAAAAAGCCATGGTCCTTAGGATAATCGTGAGAGTCTGTTTGTGTCAGCAAGAGATTCAGATCCTTAAAATACAATATGAGCTAGAAACGTTTCTTACCTGACACTATGGCCTGGAGGTCGAGGGTGAGGCTTGCCCCAGGTGCAGCAAATGTGAAGGAAATCGATCCATCATACTCCCCTGTTTTGATATTAGAGAGATAAGGGAATCGGCCAGGAATTGCCGCATCTGCGAGATCTCGCAGAAAGTCCTTGCGTGGCATTGTATGATTTTATTGTGTTGAAAGCTTGAAAAGAAAGTGTAAGAGCAGAAACAACGAAACGCGAATTCGATGTGAAGGAGTTAACCCCGGAAGCGTCAAGCGTGTCAACAAAGGAAACTAGGCAAGGAACAAAAAGAGAAGGCCGAAAACGAGTGAATACAGGTCAGGAAGAGAATAGAAAAGGAAAAAGAAAACAACCTGGAAGCCAAATAGAAACCCATCCTAGGTGGGCAACTAGGCAGCCTCAGGCCCCGAATGTGAGTGAGCCCCACTATCTAATCGCTATCTAATCGCGTCGATCAGTCTTGGCGTCGTATCCACTTCTATAGGTACATATGTACCTTCAATGTTCGTTCGCGTACATTGAACAGTCTTAACTATTATTATAAAGTAGGTAGGGAGGCAAATTTCACTTATACATATGGTAAGCTATAGAGAAAGGGTTCGCTAGCATACTATGTATCTTGTGACCTGGAGATCTCACAGACTATAAGTCTAGAGGCTGATCCTTGACTCTAGTGCTTAGACGGTTCCACAGGTGTGAAGCATGACTTTTGTACTAAGAAAGGCACTAGTGCGGTGCTATAGGCTTGACATTCAATTTTAAAACAATGTAAATGTCAGCATTTTAAGTGATATATATCTGCCAAGAGAAAATGGAAATTTTACAACACCATCGTCAGTTAAGATGTAGTATAGACTAGACTAGTCAAGTTAGTCCACAGTCAATGATAGGAAAAGCACACTTGTATCACAGTAGGCGATACTGCTCAAGGTCGATTTGCCTACCTCGATGTGCTGTAGATCTATAAAGCTTGAGAGGGGTTGGTATAGTGGAAATGTGATTGAATAGCAAAAACGGACTGCCATGGCGAACGTAGTGTATATATGTTTGAAAGTAACCTCAACTCCACAAGCTCAAATGTCCAGGTACATATAGAAGTAGATAATAAAATTACACAAACAAAGAGCTATTTGGAGCGAGGAGATCCAGACCAGACTCACCTTCGAGGAGAGGGAAGAGGCGACGAATCCGATCCTCTAGAATAGCATCTTCAGCCTCCCAACGTCGACGATCAAGACGCT